ATTGAAATTTTTTCTACCAAACGTCACAATTAAACGTGATCAATTCTCATCAGAGTTTCATGATCTTATCGCGCTAATTGCAATTGCCCTGTTTTTCATGAATAATTATGGTCAACAGAGTCGATCCCCCAGATACGCTTTCTTCTCGATAAAAAGCCCTGTTACCCTCGACCTTAATTCGACGATTACGATCCCCATCGCGATTATCCACGATTCTTTGTTTCCTCCGGTAAATTCCAGATTACACCTGAAACGAGAGTAGATTTTAGTCTTTAATTTTATAATGTCAGATGAGTCATTGAACTTCAAGACATTGAGCTTCGTTCGTCATTAAACGAATGGTGTGCCGGTTGATTCGTTAGTGAAACTCGCGGTCTTATCGTTACGTTTTCCTGCCCGACAACCACTTCCGGTCTGCACTCGATCGCGCCTCTCTGTTCACCGCGTCCGGCTCACACGTATACCTTTGTTAGGAGTATTTGCATTCAGTTAATATGCATCGTTATCTACAGCATTATTGAGTAGTAGCCGATAGTAACGTATAGTATTGGAATTAGGGACATATTATGAACCTCATCAGCTTCATAATACTTTTATTCCTCTGCAATTAATTTAGAAAATTTGGAGTACTACTGTTTTGTCAAAGTATTTCTACAGTATTCTTAGTGCCCTAATTTTTCCACAATTTTCCTATGAAATTCTAAGTGCCCTCCATTTTTCCACAGCATTCCTATAAAATTCTTAGTGCTCCAATTTTTCCTGTGGAATTTTCAGTGCCCCAATTTTTACACAATTTTTCTATGGGAATCTAAGCGACCCCCCATTTTTCCACAGCATTCCTAGAAAAATCTCACAATCAGTGCCCGATTTTTGCCTATTATTTTTACAAAATTCACAGTGCCCCAATTTTTCTACAATTTTACTGTGGAATTCTCAGTGCCCTAATTTTTCCAAAATTTTTCTATGAGATTTTAAGTGACCCCTATGTTCACACAATTTTCTTGTGGTATTCTCAGTGCCCCCCATTTTTCCACAATTTTCCTATGAAATTCTAAGTGCCCTCCATTTTTCCACAATTTTCTTATAAAATTCTCAATGCCCCAATTTTTCCATATTATTTTTATCAGTGACTACATTTCTCCATAACACACCCACAAAAATCTCAGCGCTTCTATCTTTTCACTCTGATCCACTCGTAACCGATACAGCACTCTATCGTGAGTGACAAAAACAAGCGTTGTTATCAAGTTACGGAAGATACTGGACAAACGACGAGATATCAATTTGTGGAAATAGAAACGTTGTTAGAGAAGCGATGTCGCTGAGCTCGTCGATCGATCAGGATTTGCCTGAATCGCAAAGGACTCGCCCAGTTCCTGTCGGTTCGCGATGGTTACCAGCAGCTTCATCGATCGACGTATCCTGGAGGACAGGCGTAATCCTGTTCCCCGTTCGTAGCTGTTTCTCCTCGCTTGTCGAAAACGATGGATTTATCCAGGGATACAATTATCGTAGCGATCGGATTTACCTACCACTGCTTTCGTTGCGTAACTCTTGGACTTTCGTCCTGGTTTGTTGGATTTGTTTCCATCTCACCGATCACTGTTGGGATCGCACTCGAGGGTGGAGAAATTTTTTTTTTTTTATTCCCCCGAGGGGTTGTTCGGGGTGATTTACGGGCGTTTGAGGTACGTTCCTTGGAACGAAGATTTATCGGGGCAGGTGTTGGAATAGAAATATTTCAAGCTTTCTGGAGATTTGAAAAATGATTAAAACTCCAAAGAATTCCGGTATCAAACTCTATCTTTAGAAAAAGGAACCACAATTCAGTAATGTAATTAAATTTATGGTAATTGACATGTAATGAAATTTCTTTTGCTCTTATGAAGGGTTGCAAAAGGGTTAAATATTCCCAAATTAAATCCGAAAAAATTAGAGTAAATGGGACCACGATCCGCCACATGATTCACGTAAATCTTAAATCTGGCTGCTTTAAACTCGCTGAATAATTTATGATAATTCAATATACCAATATGGATCATTAATTAAGATCCAACGTGTGTCAATTAACTGACGCGTTTGTCGGAATCGGTTCACGATTAGATAAAAATGAAAGAAGTTGACCGATCAAACTGTATCTCCTCTTGAAAATAATTGAACTTTCAAAATATTTATAACTATCATTTTCTAGATTACGATCGATACTTGAATTTTGAAGAAAATTTCTGTAGGACAGAAAAATTGATGTGCCCAATGTTTGAGGGGTTAATTCAGTTAAGAGCGAGGAATGTGCACGCGCGAACACGCTCGCACTAAACGCGACAATTCCGCGACATTATTATCTCTCGTTGATCGTCACAGTGTGGCCTCTGGTCATTGAGGAAGCGCGACGATTATGCAATTTCGTTACGTACGCACCTCGCAGAACAACGCAAGTACACTCGCGATCAAATCAGGCTTACCAAGGAAAAATTGCTCATATCCCGAGTTCTCGTCCTTCCCCATTCCTGGGGAGAATGACAATACAGAAAATGAGCCCTCATACATAATATATAAAAATTTCGCCTTATCACGTGCGAGTAAATTTTATACACTATAAATTTAATAATTGAAAATTATATTATTTTCTCTCTAAATTACTTTTAATATTATTATCATTAAAATAACAATATCGAGGATTCCTGCTTCCCCTATATGGCAATGGGAATGAGTAAACCTAATTTGATCGCGAGTGTACTATCAAACGGTGAGCAATCGATCAGATAAAAACGAGGATTTATCGGTAGGATTCGGTTGCCAGCACACGGTGAGTCAAGTTTGACTGAACGTATCTGATAGAATCGAGCGTGTAATCGTTTTCCATTAACCGGTCAATTACAGTTACATGGTAGCGGAAGATCAGATAAAATAAAACGTCTACCTAATTGCTATGGGGTAATGGATGAATTTCTAACGACAATTTCATTATTCGATTGAATTCAATTATTCCTGTGTTTCAAGATCAGAGGCAAATAACGAGATTGGTTAAAAAATCAGCACGAAAGGCATCCATTAAAATATCGGTCATACGCATCGCATCGGGAGGGCATGACACAGCGCGCGCGGCTATCTGAAGCAATTTATTTGGACGGAACAAGAGCTGCCGTCGACATACAATGCTCGTTAAAATCGTTGATGAACAGAGCCGCGTATACTTACCTTTGTGTCAGTATCATGTAGATCAATAGAGAGACATTTGTCGCGACTCTACGTCCGTTTGTTCGATTCCGACACCCCTCTCCCTCCCGGATCATCCAACATCAGTTTTTTCAGTCAATAATTTTCATAAACATTATTCTGTGATAAAGTACTCATTGTTAAGAAAAAAATGTGGGCATTGAATAGATTTTTGATTTATTTGATTATTTTGCAGTATAGGTAGAAGGTCGTATCGTGGATTGAATTGGAATAGATCGAAAAATTGGCGCGAAAAAATTTCTTCGACGTCGAGAACCACTGGCTACGCGCCAATCTATTTCACTTATTTCCGCGACACGTTCGGGATTGCAATCACCGTTCCGTGTCGACGAGAGGTCGAGACAATTTACTGCACTGCGGCTAGCAAAATCTTCTCCTGCGAGCACTGACAATTATCGCATCGCGCGCGCACACGTGCACAACTCTAATCAATACGGGACGATTTATATGATCAGTCTTGCTACTGTAAGAAACTGAGAGTAATAAAATATATATTAATCGTGATCTGTCACCTCTCGTAACATAATTTAATAATTAAGAGAACAATCTCGCCGAGGGTGACAGAGACGCTAAAGCCGACCCTGGATATATTAATCAGGGCCAGGTTAAAATTTCTGGGGGGTGTCAAACCTTCGATGGATCCTTTGGTTGATAAATTTGGTAGAGAAATAAAAATTTATTCCAAATAAAATTAACCCTGTGGATGGCGGACCATGGAGAGAGCCAGAATTTTAATTTTATTTTATTTCTATCCTTAATAATTGGAACTTCCACTTCCACTATGGTGGTTAAGAAAGAAAATGGAATGTGTGTTGACGATTTGGTGTTCATCCAACCCCCTAAAAACCACGAGATAATCCAGTGGCGATCGACGAAGGGAGTTCATATATCTATTTCGTTGAAATCGAGAGGGGTGCGACCCTCGTAAATTTTTCACTCGTCCTGTGTGTCGAGTCGCTAAGGCTTGAAGGTTAGAAACGACCCCTTCGAGGCAGCAGCGTTCGCTGGTTGCTGTTAGTACGTCGTTTGCATGCGTTCAAACGCCGGGAAAAACGAGATCACGTCGGTTCCACGAGACAGTAAGGAAAATTCTCCTCACTGAAAATAGCTTGGTACATTTCAATTTGGACAAAACGCTGTCAGTTGTCGAGGTGCTTTCCAGAATTTAAATATACGAACCGTGGAGAATAGAAATTGTCAATTGAATTTTATACAATTTTCTTTACTTAGGGAAAATGATATTATTCAAGTTCTAATTTCGAAGGTATTAATATTAAATTTCATTTAAAATTAGTGGTACGGTCAATTTCTCCTAAAAAAAAAAAAATGGTACTACAAATTTTTTAAACTTGGACTTTCTCCATGGTCCGCTGTCCGAAGGTTAATTGTGCCAAATATTCTCGTCGAAGGATTACTATCGATCACGGGACACCATTGAACGATTTCAATGACTGTGCTTCATTGAACCGGCACCGGAAGTGGTCGTTATCCGAGGTCGGTCTTGAAAATTAGGTTTCAGCCTGTACCGTAAGCTCACGTGTACCATTCACACAGCCCACGTGTTTCGGAGAGGTCGGCGAAAATGTTCATGGCCGATAATTATATCGAGAAAATGTACGATAGAACAATGGATCAATTATCATCGAATCGTCGAACTCTTTTTATTTATTTATTTATTTATTTTATATCGTGTGGATTTATTTTTGTATTTTTTTTCTTAGTTCGTGTCATCTCATATTTTTTTGTCATACATTTTTTTACAGCATGGCCGATCAGATTCGTACAGGGTCGCCACGTTACCGAAAATTCGCGACGACAACAAAACAGCCGATGGGATGTACAAGGTATTATAGAAAAATTAGGACTTCCGGTTCTGTGCAAGCTACATTCTTACAGCTTTTTTTGGGCTTACCTCGTCGGTGGTTCTTCTTCTCTCTTCTTCATCTTCTTCTTCGTATTTTCTGAACCAATATTTCTGAAGAATTTTCAGAACATTGTTTATAAATATTCGTCTGAATATTTCTATTATTTTCTATTTCTACTTCTTCTTCCGTACTAACCAGCACAGTATTTGGTGAATTTCTAACACAAACAACTAACATTAATTATTCCTGGTGGTGGATTAATATTAAACTGTGGTCTGATGGTCCAAACGGATGGTGTTTCTAATTTTAATTATTACGTTTATTAAATGGAGGATCGATAAGGAACTCTGCTTTTCTAATATGTGGAAATAATTATTGTGGAGAATGGTGATAGGAACAAGAGTAATTTACATAAAGTAATGATCATATAAATCCATAACTCTTTGATTCTCATTAACATTTTACTTTTATTATTGTATGACTAATAAGCGATAAAATTTGCTTTTGTGTCAAACAGTCGCGGCGGAAGAACCCAAAGCGGAGGACGGACAATTTAGATGACCTGAAGCAGGAGTTGGACATTGATTTCCACAAAATCACCCCCGAAGAACTGTATCAGAGATTTCAGACGCACCCCGAAAACGTAAGTAACAAGACATAAGTTATAAAATAAAATAAATGAAAAGAAAAGTAAGTACAGTGGTACCTCGATATACGACCTTAATCCGTTCCTGATGTTTGGACTTATACCTAATAGGACGTGTACCAAACCAACCTTTCCCATAAGAAGTAATGTAAAAATGATTAATCCGTTCTCATGTAAAAAAAAACTCCTATTGATATTATACCTACATTAATAGGATTGTAAAATAATTTAAATGTAACCTAATGATAGATTCTAAATTAACAAACCAAATGAAATAAATTTTATTGCCTCCCGTTTTGCGGTTATAGTTTGTTATACGATATCCTTACTTGTATGATCAATCAGTTAATAATACATCAACTCCGAATATAATTAATTATTAATTTAATTTTTCCTCTGAGATAATTATTTAAAAATGACGCAAAATTCACAGAAAAAATTTATGTCGTATACTGGACAGAAGTCGTATACCGAGGAAAATTTGTCACGTCTAATCAGGACGTATATTTCAAAGCAGACGTATCCCGAGGTACCACTGTATATCGCTAATTTATAAAAAATCACCTGCGAAACAATGATCATTAAAAAATATCTTTTTTTGTGAAATGTTAACGTGTAAAAATATTGTTACAGGGCCTCAGCCATGCGAAGGCAAGGGAGAATCTGGAGAGGGATGGGCCAAACTCGTTAACGCCACCGAAACAGACACCGGAATGGGTGAAATTCTGCAAGAATCTTTTCGGTGGTTTCGCGTTGCTGTTATGGATCGGTGCGATCCTTTGCTTCATCGCGTACTCGATCCAGGCGACGACCAGCGAGGATCCGAACGACGACAATTTGTACCTGGGTATCGTGTTGGCGGCGGTGGTTATAGTTACGGGCATATTCTCGTATTACCAGGAGAGCAAATCAAGCAAAATCATGGAATCGTTCAAGAACATGGTACCGCAATTCGCGACGGTGATCAGAGAAGGCGAGAAACTGACATTGAGGGCGGAGGAATTGGTACTCGGCGATGTGGTCGAAGTGAAGTTCGGCGATCGTATACCGGCGGACATAAGGATCATCGAATCGCGTGGATTCAAAGTGGACAACTCATCGTTGACCGGTGAATCCGAGCCACAGTCGAGGTCCCCAGAGTTCACGAACGAGAATCCGTTAGAAACGAAAAATCTCGCGTTCTTCTCGACGAATGCCGTTGAAGGCACGGCGAAGGGTGTGGTTATCTGCTGTGGCGATCAGACGGTAATGGGAAGGATTGCTGGTTTAGCATCCGGCCTTGACACCGGTGAAACGCCGATCGCTAAGGAGATACACCACTTTATCCATTTGATTACCGGCGTTGCAGTGTTCCTCGGTATAACCTTCTTCTTGATAGCGTTCATTCTCGGTTACCATTGGCTTGATGCGGTTATCTTCCTCATCGGTATCATCGTGGCCAACGTACCGGAAGGTTTGCTCGCTACCGTAACCGTGTGCCTGACGCTGACCGCGAAACGAATGGCCTCGAAGAATTGCCTGGTTAAGAATCTCGAGGCTGTCGAAACTTTAGGATCCACGTCGACCATTTGCTCGGACAAAACTGGCACACTGACACAGAACCGGATGACCGTCGCCCATATGTGGTTCGACAACCAGATCATCGAGGCTGACACAACGGAGGATCAGTCTGGATTACAATACGACCGTACCAGCCCCGGCTTCAAAGCGTTGGCCAAGATTGCTACACTCTGTAATCGTGCCGAGTTCAAACCAGGCCAAGAGAAACAACCGATCCTACAGAGACAGGTGAACGGTGACGCGTCCGAGGCTGCTCTATTGAAGTGCATGGAACTGGCGTTAGGAGACGTGATGGGTATCAGGAAACGCAACAAGAAGGTCTGCGAGATTCCGTTCAACTCTACCAACAAATATCAGGTGTCCATCCACGAGTCCGACAATCCAGATGACCCCAGACACCTGCTTGTAATGAAGGGTGCCCCGGAGAGGATTCTCGATCGATGCTCCACCATATTCATCGGTGGAAAGGAGAAAGTTCTGGACGAGGAAATGAAGGAAGCTTTCAACAATGCTTACCTCGAGCTAGGCGGTCTTGGCGAACGTGTACTCGGCTTCTGTGACTACACGCTGCCGTCCGATAAGTTCCCTATCGGCTACAAGTTCAACTGCGACGATCCCAACTTCCCGCTCGAAGGACTCCGTTTCGTAGGCCTCATGTCTATGATCGACCCGCCGAGGGCTGCGGTACCCGACGCGGTCGCCAAATGCCGTTCAGCCGGTATCAAGGTGATCATGGTTACCGGCGATCACCCGATCACTGCCAAAGCCATTGCCAAATCCGTCGGCATCATCTCTGAAGGTTAGCTTCATTTCTAAATAATCCTTATTCGATCATATCTTCAGTTGGACATGAACCAAAATTGAAATTGCTTCGTGTTTTTTTCTGTTCAGGTAACGAGACTGTTGAGGACATTGCTCAACGGTTGAACATCCCAGTGTCCGAAGTGAATCCCCGCGAGGCCAAGGCCGCCGTGATTCACGGAACTGAACTCAGGGAACTGAATTCCGACCAACTGGACGAAATTCTCAGGTACCACACCGAAATTGTGTTCGCCCGTACCTCGCCACAGCAGAAGCTGATCATCGTCGAAGGCTGTCAACGAATGGGTGCTATCGTCGCCGTAACTGGTACGTTGTTTATCTTCTTAAAAACACTTGGAACCTTTATAATTATCATACGAAGGTTGAAATTCTTGTCAGAATAATGGTAACCTCCTGAGAACGTTCATTATCAACAGACATGCAAATAAGAATTTTATTTGTTACGAGAACACCTACAGCGTTAATTAAGCAAACAAGATTTTATTTATAAGCACCGATCCATCATCTGACCTACAATCCTCTTATTAGATTGATATAAACTCCATTTCAGAAGGCACCAATTTGTACATGTTTAAATGCAAACACAGGACTCTTCAAGTTTATGTAAAACTCACTTCACAGATTCATTTAATTAGCATGGTACTCGTGCACTATAACAAGAGACGGTATGTTCAATCATACGTTATATTCTTCTACTACCCTCTGCTTATTGTAGTTCAGTAGAATCGTTTCCCCCCAAAGTACCCTCCAAAGAGCCTGGATCGACGATAGACAAATAGACGCTAAACAGTAGATTAGGAGACACGGGGAATATATTGTAAAGAGATTGAACAAACATTCCAGGTGATGGTGTGAACGATTCGCCCGCGCTGAAGAAGGCCGACATCGGTGTAGCCATGGGTATCGCTGGTTCGGACGTGTCGAAACAAGCAGCCGACATGATCCTGCTCGACGACAACTTCGCCTCGATCGTGACCGGTGTCGAAGAGGGTCGTCTGATCTTCGACAACCTGAAGAAGTCAATCGCTTACACCCTGACCTCGAACATCCCCGAGATCTCACCCTTCCTGGCGTTTATCCTTTGCGATATACCTCTGCCACTCGGTACCGTCACTATTCTCTGCATCGACTTGGGAACTGACATGGTGAGTAACATACCGTCGTCTATCCTTCACTCGTTTCCACTTGGAAACGAGGGAAACACGAAGAGAAGCCACAGAATTCAACGAATCTTCAAGGAAATCCTCAAACTATCTTGAACAGGACATCTTGAGGAGTCGTTGAGATTCTTCTTCTGTAATCAAAGATTTTCAGCGATGTTTAATACGTTGTACCTTCTTGTGTCATCTTCGCCGAGTTGATATTTATAGGCTGGTTGGATTGTTAAGGATGAAATATGTGATGGTTTATCAGGTGCCCGCCATATCTCTGGCGTACGAGCACGCCGAATCGGACATCATGAAAAGGCAGCCTCGCGATCCAAGCAGGGACAACCTCGTCAACGAAAGGTTCTTTTTGTCGACAGATTTCTGTAGTCCGCAGTTTGCCTAGGCTAGATAGCTCCAGTATCGCCAGATCACTTTATAGGAAGTACCCCTGATTGGAAGCTAGAATTGCTGATCCACTTATGTATCTGAAATATGTATTTTACTTAGGTCACCTCTGGAAGCCAGATTAATCTAAACGTTATGAATTTTTCAATGCACGAGTATCTTGATTCTTGGCACTCTGATTTATCAAAGTAGATAAATGGATCGTTTAATGAAGAAGTGTCTATAGAATCAGGACACTCGTGACACTGAATATTATACAGAGTTTTTCCAGCTAAGAAGCCAGTCTCAGATGATCCAGGAGACCCCAACGGAGGCACACCCTTAGTATCATCCCCTCGACAATCCTTTGACGCCTTCCGCCTTATCGATCCACACGATTTAGTTTTCTCAGTTGATTTGTTTGCTTACGTTTCTGCGTTCTCATCGCACGATGCTCACCGGTCGCAATACGTTTCCTCCTTGTCAAATATGGCTTGGTACAGTGAGTATGGGGAAGCATATTAACCCTGGTACATTAAGATGATAGGAAGAGGCTACCAGTAGAGTTACTATAGTAAGCAATATTTTCCTGTTAGCCTTAGTGCACCTTATTGCTTACTGTAATAAAAATTGTAATCTAGACTTAAATCGGTAGAATGGGGTATAGTAATTTTACTCTAGCCTTCTCCCATCTCTATAAAGCTAGGGCTTGTATGTTTCACTACTTGCTCCACCAATTTTAATAGAAAATTTCTGGACGTAAAAGCGGTCAGCATCGTTTATCACGCGATCACCACGAACGATACTCACGATTTTAATTCTGTGTTGGCGTTGTTACTGAGAGCCTGTTGATAATGTGACATCAGGTGCCAGCCATCTCACTTGCCTACGAGGAGGCAGAGAGCGATATTATGAAGCGACATCCACGAAACCCGTTCACTGACAAGCTAGTTAACGAAAGGTAACACATCAACAACATAAACTGAGCCTTGACAAAGAAAACTATATCTACACCGATTGATAATTATATTTTTATATTGGTCAGAAAGAGTAATCGGTGACACGATTTCTTTTTCATTCTCAAAGCATTGATACTTGGATTGAAAAATTTGTTAAGTAATTATATTAATATTGATACAATAATTGACTTGGAGAATGAAATTAAAACGGTCGCTCGATCGCTCTCTCCTTTTATTACCTGTCTATATTGGTCGTTACACACTTCTTACTTACACTTCCTATTGGTTAATATTGTATAGTAGCTAGTTCGTTCTGTCTCTCGTATGACTTATAGTACTCGTTTTCGATAACACTAAAATACTATAATGAAAAATTCGAAAAAAAACAAAAAAAAAACAAAGGAAGCAGATTCACGTGACTCCGATCTGTCTTTCTATTTTTCTTATTCTCTTTCTTGAACGAGGAACACCCGAACGTTATAAGGGTGACTCGACGATTCGTGTGCAAATTAATCCCTAGCCTAACTCGTCCGTGCTAATTGTCCGTTTCGACGGTTTCTTTATTAACCGGTTTTGTTGTTTCATGTCGTCGTACGTGTTTGTTTGTTCGTATTGGTGGTGAAGAATCTTACCAGCCAAAACCTTCCCCCCTGCTTGAATACATTTTTTATTCCAAAGATGGTTGTCTTGCATTTGAATACCGAATCGTGTTCATCGATCCCCCACCCCCCCCCCTTGTGATACGGAAATTCTTCTGTCGCACGTGTGCTTTCGTACCAGAAAAAGTCGCAAACAAACGAAATCTTCGTCTGTCTGTTTTACTGTTATTTCTTTTTTTTTTTTTTTTTTTTTTTTTTAAATAATTTTCCTCGGTTTTGTTGCTTTCGACCGGTTCGATCGTACGCCAAAGGCCTGGGTTTAATTTGTTTTCGATGGCTTCCGGTTTCCCGGACGACTGTACTAACAAATATATAAGGTAACGGAATGGGCTGTGCACGCCGGTGTTAACACCTCGGGGCATCTGGTGATTGGGTATCATTTTTACATACTCTAATTTTATTTATTTCTTCCTTTTGAGCTTCTCTGTTCAGAATCTTTTTTATACATATATTTAACGGTATGTCTTCGCTCGACAGCCCGATTCGCACTCGCTCTAAGCTGGATCGTGATCTTGATCGGTGATGCTCGCTCGCCCACGATTCAGGGAATGGCTTTTATCGGAAGAAAATTTATCAAAAATTGTATAAGTTTTATTTGGTCAAATAATGAAGAAATTAGGAGGATAATTCTGAAAGCTTGAAATCAGTGTCTGACTAGATATGGTTCTTTCTACTGTAATAATAAATTATATTCAAATTCAAATTACCAAGCATATGGTCGGTTAATTATTAAATTGAAATTTTCAATCTAGTTCCTTACGTAATCGTTAATAAAATAACGGTTTTATAGTGAGTTTGGAATTTGAAATTAATTGAACCAATAAAAATTTCATACACATTGCAGTAATTATGAGGACAAGAATATAATATATACATTCGTCAAAGTGTTAATTATTAGACTAAATTAAATTCATGAAATCTATTAAAATTTCATTATTTCCTTAATATAAATTATGTGTTACGTTTCAATGAACCGTAGGACGAGCAACCACCAAAGTTTCTATCTCTCTTTCTCTCGAAGGTTTTCCCTGTTCCTCTAATTACAAAATAAAATGAGCAATTGCCAATGAAGCGTTCGCTTTCGTGACGATGATCCTCGCTTGTAATTAGTGTTTCGTTTACGTCAAAGGTAAGCCGATCTCTTTCAAATCTTTCACCTCTCTATCTTTCTATCTCTATTCACTTTTTCCTTTCTATCTATCAGCTTTTATTCTCTGAATTTCTCTTCCCGCCTTATTTTTTATTCCTCAAAAGAAAGAAATCGTCTCTTAATCGTCGATCGATCGTCCGCCATGTTGGCTCAATGGGGAAACAACAAACAGGAAGTTGAGTACCAACAAATGTATCTCTTTCTCTTTTTTACGCTCCTGCTAGCGGATAGTCCTCCACTTTTCAACCCCCTGCCCCCTCTCTTTTTTTTTTAAATCTCGTTTTTTCACCGCACTGCCTTTTGGTTCTGCCCGGAAGTTGCACAGGTGACACACCGAGTAATCGAGGATCTTTTTTACCATTGTTTCCGGTTCCGCTTATCTAAGGATCTCTTATTATTCTTGGACGATGAAACAGTCTCTCTCTCGGCATCATGGTTAAAAAATAATTAAGGAAAGGAGAATTTTACACGAGTTAACACGCCAACTATTCGAATCTCGCTTAGATCGATGCAAAGTACAATTTCAATTTATTATTGACGTTGTTGTTATTGTAGTTTAAAAATATTGAAAGTAGTTACAATATTACATCGAGCGATTTTCGAAATGTTTTTCATTTTTTATTTTATTTCGAGTCATAAGATCAGTCGAGTGGCGAGTGTTTTTGAACGAATTTCATTAATATTTAATATTATTAGTGTTTTATTAAGTGTAATATCCAAATTTGAAATTTTATCAAAATTGAATTAATAATACGACTTCCACGAAAATCAAGGATTAATTAGTTTCAATTAATAAAATGTCGATCAATGACACTCACCCTGAAGGATAATTAGTTCAATTTCAATTTAACTTTTATACATGACGTTTACATAGATCAATATTGTCGTCTATATATTTATCATTCATTACTATTCTATACTATTCATTCTATATATTTATCATAATTACCACCCACCATCAGTCTCATCATTATCATCGTTATTATTAATCACTGGCCTAGTTTCATCAGTATTATTAGTAACCCTCATCGTCGTATCGATCCCTCGCTATCCTCTCATCGGATATTCGTAGTATCTTTTTTCAAACATCCTCTCTCACTATTTTTTCATTGAAAAAAAAAAAATTGTTACACACACCAGCGTTTTAATTACTGGACTAGCGACAAAGAGATTATTTTTACTTTCTTCGTATACTGTTCTTTATAATTCTACTATCACAGCTGCTGCTGTTACTGTTATTATACTTAATGGTTTAATTTCTTTCTTCTTCATCGCCATCAGTATGGTTATAATTAATTAGAGCTGTTCCTAAGGCTAGTATTTTACAGTAAAAATTCACCAGTTTATTTAAAATTTAATTAATTTCATAGAACAATTTTGAAAATACATATTTAAACTTGGGGCCAGGGGTATCAGTGCCCTTTTTGCCTGATGCTAGGGGCCGCTCTGTAATTAACCATCATTGCATAAAAAGGGAATGAAAAGAAAAAAAAAAATGTTAATGAAACAGAAATAGTGTGGAGAAAGGAAAAGAATGAGCAAGCAAGCAACGATACGATAATATGGCACCTTTCTTACATTTCTATTCTTTTTTTGTCATTTCTAGGCGTGTCATGAATTCCTCTTTGCAGTTCTTTTGGTTTCCCCTTTTTTAATACTTTACAGTCCTGTCACATTTTATTCTGTAATGCGCTGCCTACCGCCGCTGCCTTCTACCACTTCTGCGACTGGCAACCTTTCTAACGGCCGCTGTGAACGACTGAGCGAGACGTTCTCTCTTTTTTTTTCTTTTTCTGTTTTCCCTTTGAATTTCACGATAACAGCGTGCGAATTAAAACGAGTCTGTCGCTGTTGCGGGAAATTTTCATGGGTACATGTGGATATGGTGTAACAAGGGAGGAATAAAGGTTCTCTGTCGTGTTTCCTCCTGCGGCAGACAGAGTTTGCAAAAAATATTTCAAGAATTTTTGATTAATTAAACAGAATAATTTACAGAAATTTTCCAAACTGATTAGAAGCATTAAACAAATTCTTTCTGTGGAGGAGGGAACAAGATTAACCCATTAATTCCCAGAGCTTTATTTTTTATTATTAAAAAGGAATATTAATATAAAAATAAAAAAAGAGATTAAGATTTGCAGTTCTGGGTGTTAATGGTTTAAAGATACTAACAGAAATGAAGCTTGCATCGTGTACAGAGTGCAGGAAAGGGCGAGGAATTCTGAAAGAGTGCTCGATGATTAATTCTTATTTAACCCTTTCATTATTATTGACATTAACCCTTTCGATACTGTTGACGCCTGAAATCTCATATGAGTATTGCAAATTAACTATCTACTGTTCTGCCATAACGAAAGGGTTAAATCATAGATAAACAAGTTTCATCGAACATTCAATTTTGATCAATGAATAATGAAAACCGATGGATGCTTTGACACATTAAATGCCATGCCTCGGTTACAACTATTTAGAATACAGTAATTTCAATTTACCACTTGCTATTCTATCTACTATTAATACTTTCTATTTATCTTTCTTATGATGTATTCCATTTTTGCTCCCCATGGCATTCAAAGTGTTGACAAATTTCAGGATCTTCCTTTCAATCAACTTCGAATTCGGTGAAAGTATATTTTTCAATCAAATATTTGAAAACAAAGGAAGGAAGAGGGATTTAAAAATAATAGAAAAATTGATCGGTCATTATTCTTCGTCTCTTTCGCTGTTTACTTCTGTACAAATACTGATTTTGTAAATATATGTAAATATGGCTACGTGTATTTCTATATTATTATTATTATTATTATTATTATTATTATTACTATTATTATTATTATTATTATTATTATTATTATTACTACTATTATTATATACTTGTAACGGTGTACGGGGTGCTTGGCACACATATTTTCTAATCAATGGTGGATGGCAGGTGCCGGCCATCTCGCTAGCTTACGAGGCACCGGAGTCGGACATTATGAAACGGCAGCCCCGCGATCCTTACAGAGACAATCTTGTCAACCGAAGGTGGGTCTCAAAACTACCCACCAGAGAAACCAATTTTACCCTAGACATACCATGCACTTATTCAATTACCAAATCGCAGACAAACAATAGATACACGACACACGAGGCACTTTAAGGGTGGCCAAATTCAATCAGTTAATTGTTATTATTATTTTTTTAATTATAAAAGATTCTGAAATCAAACTTAAATTATTTCTATTTTTCAGTAGAAAGTATGCAAAATATATTCCAAAGAAATACAATAAATTTTAAATTAATTTCTTTTTTTCAGTAAATATTCATAGCTTTTCTTTTATTGTTTAAATTTCAATAAGTTGAACGAAATTTGGCCATTCTAGCACGCCACACATGATTGTTTCTACACAGTTAATCGTCAGAGTGTCTACTGAAATTTCGGTGCCGTACATTTTGTTTCTGAATTACAGATCTCTCTGTTTCTGTCTATCTTTCTCTCATTGTCTCCATGGTCACTCGCTTGATCTTTATTTTACTGCACGCGACAATGATGAAAATGTCTTTTTATCGTTATCAATGTGCGCACTATCGTTTGCACTTGTTCGTCGAGAACACGGCAAAGCAAATATTGATACCATCGATAGGTATCGAGTAAATATGAATATTCCCGGCATGGTGTCCAATTAGGGGTGTGTCGGGTCGGAAGAAGCTCGTGATTTCGTGTATCCGTACACCCCTAAGTCAAATCCGAGAGATTTGTCACAGGGATGTTTTAATTAGAGGTAGAGAAAAGAGTACTTTCCAATAATCTCGACTCAAATCCTAAATTTCTAGATTTAAAGTTTCCAAATTTCTGATTTTCTAAATTTCCAAATTTTCTATTAGTTGAGCAGAGGTAATGGAAAATTATTGAATAAAAAAAAAAGAAGTTGACACTCTACGTTTTCCCAGACAAAATGAAAAAAAAAAAAAAAACACATCTTTAGATAACTAGTTGATTAGTAATAGCACAGCAAGTACTGGGTGCGGCAAAATTCTAGACAAGATTTACTGCTCTGCGAAGAGATAAGTTGAAATTATAGAATGAATCTTTTTCTCAATTTATTCTATAATTGAAATTTCTCTTTGCAATAAGCATCTAATTCGTGTCGCAAATTTTGCCACAGCCTGTTTAAATAGAAGATAGACAGCGTTGGGAATGCCGAATGCTTTCTAGTCACCACTTAGAGTCTCTCTGGGACAGCGAAATTAACCGAAGGACTGCGCCTAACAATTTGGCCCCTGTTTTTGCAGCTTTGCGATACGTTATTATCTTACGTGTTTAGAGAAGCCGTTGCACCCACCACGTACATACATGTCTGCGAGAAAGATAAAGCAAAGCTGAAACTAGAGGTATCGTGTGTGATACCAGAACGAAATAACAAAATAACACAAAGTGATGCTGTAACATTTAGAGTACACTCGCGAGCAAATCAAGTTTCGCTAGGAAGAATGGCGCAGAAATGATCAAACTCTTCATTTTGACGAAATTTTCATTAAAATTAATTTATATAATAAGTTTTTATTATTAAATATGATAAAATTTAACATATAACTGAAAGATATGAATAACGAGTAGGTATCAATTAAAATTCTTCTGCGCACATGTCTGTGCGCAGGTGGTGGTCCGCCACAGTCTTATATATAGGGGGCCTCTACCCCCGCAGTGTCATTCCCTTTCGGACCGCCGAAGGGGAACAATGGGAGTCTGGGAAAGGGTGAAAATCCGTGGCATCAACATTTTTCCTATGGATCTCCTTGATTTGATCGCATGTGTAAATACATAATATTCAGTTGAGAGTAAAAGTTCCATAAAAGAATTATCTGAGAGCATTGAAACAGAATACTTTCGATAGTTCTTTCGTGCAAGTTTCACTCTCAAATGGAGATTTATGAAAGTTTAGACTCTAAACTTTAGAGGGATGCATAGAGCAAGCTTATACCGACGAGAACGAAAGCACGGCCTGAGCAATTAGTCGACGAATTAACACACGATTTATTATCAAACTAGAAGAATATTAAACACACCAGTTATGATACTAGTCACTAACAAGCTTTCTTTTCGATTCCAACGTCCCGCGTCTTTTTGATCCATTCTGTTCTTGATCGCGCGTGTCTTCCACGCGGATCCGTTGTGATCTTTCTTTACTTCTTTCTTTCTGACTTTCTCTCTGCTGCATGCAAACTGTTTTTTATTTTGTAATCTGAATAGAATTCGATCTTGTATTGCTGATCCTGTAAAATGTCAAATTTTTATAAATACAAAATTTGAATATTTTATCATATTTCATCATTTTTTAAGACTGAAAGGATCAGCACCAGGATTGGAGAAAAATTCACGAATCCAATTAAAATATTTGCTGTTGCTACTCTTTATGTTCGCTGACTTAATCAAATCTCACGGTTCGACCGAGCTTGCATGCAAAAAGTTCGAATTTTATAAAGTACACCGTGATATTTGACTAACCATAGCTGAATATGTGTATTGTCTGGTGCTTTGTGTGGCATGCCTCAATGTGAAGAAGTAATCGTTATCGCCTACGTTACGATCCGGTAAGTTGTTATTACGCATCCTAATCATAGGTAACAATGGCTTTCGTAATTAACACTTAACACCTTAGGCTGTTTAAAAGTGAACTTAGACGATTAATCGCATACACATAGACAGCTTCCATTGATTTTCAAAGGATCTATTTTTCTTCTAAAAAATTTTTTATTAATCATGATTTAATTATTCTGAAATTTGGAATTTGTCACTTTACATATTAACTTTATTCAAAGTTATTACTTCGATTTGATACAATCCTAAAACTAAGATCGTATAAGAGTTTCTTAAAAATTTTCAAAGAATATAAATTTTTGAACCTGCCAGAAATAAAGGAAATTTCTTTGGAAGTCAAATTATAAACCGCATCCGATGCTCTTAACAATTAAGAAGTATCTAAATGATGATTCCTTAATGTCTAGGCTTATTTCGATGGCATACGGTCAGATCGGTATGATCCAAGCAGCAGCTGGTTTCTTCGTGTACTTCGTAATCATGGCTGAGAATGGATTCCTTCCTCTGTATCTTTTCGGTATCCGAAAACAATGGGATTCCAAGGCTATCAATGATCTTCGCGACAGCTACGGCCAAGAATGGGTAAGTTGGATACATCAACCGAACGACTGATTATTTTGAACAAGTTGTAAGAAGACTCTGTATAATTTTGTACGCTTCCACAGACATACAATGATCGCAAGACACTGGAGTTCACCTGCCACACAGCCTTCTTCGTATCAATTGTGATCGTCCAGTGGGCCGATTTGATCGTCTGCAAGACGCGACGTAATTCCATCATTCACCAGGGAATGAGAAACTGGGCCCTGAACTTTGGTCTGGTATTCGAGACCGCCCTCGCCGCATTCCTAAGCTACACACCTGGCATGGACAAGGGTCTCCGCATGTTCCCTCTCAAGTAAGTACATTTTTTTTTAAAAACAGCCTTCCCAATTTCAAAATAAAAACCGTCTAAGACCTTAGCCACCCAAAATAAAAACCCTCTAAGCTACCCTTAGCAGCAAAGAAGGTCGCGTGTACCCAAAGCTCTAAAAGCTCTAGTCAGGTGCCTGGTAACCAGAAGAGTACAGAATTACTTTAAATAATAAATGACAATGTATTTCCTCGTTTCAGATTCGTCTGGTGGTTACCCGCCCTTCCTTTCATGCTCGCCATTTTCATCTACGACGAGACGAGACGATTCTACCTCCGCCGGAATCCAGGAGGCTGGCTCGAGCAAGAAACTTACTATTAGACGCAAAGAAGAATTTAATCATACACGCAGAGCGCGCGCGCAAGAGTACAGAGCGAGAGTAGCAGTGAGAATGTTGAGAGAGCGAGAGAAACGTGAGTGAAAGATAAACGTGAGAGATAGAGAGGGAGAAAATGAGATATGCATATACCCACGCAAAGAGATATACACCGAGGGAGATACTAATCAGTAAAAACCAAACAAAATAAAAAAAAAAAAACAAACAAATTACTGAAAAGAATAAAATACCATAATAATCACTCGCGTTAAGAGACACGTATACATTACATACATACACACATACACATATTATGAAAAAAAAAAAGCCATACATACACACAATGTTATATTTACCATGGGGCGTGCTATCCGGGTCTAAAAACCGTACTGTCGCGAGATCAAACGAGGGACAATTCGCATCCAAAGAATGTCGAGCCGAATCGTCGAACGACTTGGTATATTATTGTTGTTTCTTCGAAAGAAAAAAGATACTATTATCACGTGGGAGAAGAATTACAGTGTGTGTGAAGTACAAAAGAAAAGATGGGAAAAGAAAGATTTGGAGGAAGAGATTGAAGGAGAAATAAAACGTTCGTCGTTCTGGCTCTGCGAGTTGCTTGCACGCGCGTGCCGGTGTATCATTAAAAAAGATCGTCGTTCGAGGAACATCAATAAGGATCGACGAGGATATATGGGTTCTACGAGCAACGTCGTCGGGAAGATCTAGCTTCCAGGTACACACACACACCTAATACGATTCGAAGGGGTTCAGAATTCTTAGGGGTCGATGCTGCCATCCGAAGACTACAAACGCGAAGCTGCTGAACTTGGGTCGGACGAAGCAGAAAAGGGCCTAAAACGAACATTAAGAAAAACGTGGGACGTGGAAGAGGGATCATCGAGACTGCGAACGAAGTGCTATGCGTATCTTTGATGGGAATAACAGAGCGAGATGAGGCGACGACGTCAAGGGTTGTAATGATTGAAGAATAATTAGCATCGATGAAGCATTCCATGTAGACGTCTTGTGATAAGGAGAAATATTCACGTAGTAGGCATCCTGTTAAGCAAAAGATCACTGCGCTAGGTTTGGCTATGCCCTTGCTAAGAATTAAATAGAAAAAGACAAAAAAAGAGAGAAGAAGCAGAAGAAGCAAAAATAGTAGTGAGAAGAGAAAGAGAGAGATATAAATGTTACATTAAATGCAAAAGTTTAAGAAACGATGACGAGATATCATTGAAAACGTACACTACAGATAAGACGTCTCGTGACACGCCATTTAGTCTTTGAATAGAAACCTAATTAATTCCTAATTAAACGAAGAGATCAGTACGCTAGATTGGCACGCCCTAGAATCATTTACGACGCGGTGTGGAGACAAGCGAATTACGTTAAAACGAAATAAATCCTTCCCCCTCCCCAAAAAAATAAACAAGAATATTATAATGATAAGAGTAATTGAAAGCGCGTTCGCAGTACTCATTTATTATTCTTATCGCAAAGTAATGTCGTTCGGTTTCAAGTCTTTTAATCCGAGTAGCTGTCGAAGCCAGAAATCGCATCGCGTAGATATTTCAGTAGCTCAGTCTCTGCACGATAATTGCTACGCGAGAAAGGATGGATAAAGAACATAATCGTCGAGTTTGGTCCACGAGTTGTGTACCGTTTTGGTTCTGCAAAGGAGGGAGGAGAGGTTAGGAAGCGCGAAGGCGAGCATCGAAAACGAAGGCGGCAAACGAACAGTATTATAAGTAATTATCAACAAAACCCAGCCGAGGAAGATACCGAAGATACAAAGACACAAAACAAGTGAGAAGAACAGAGAATTATTTAATTGCACGAACAAGCGTACAAGTAAAACGGTGCTCGCACCGACAGGACGGGACAAACGAATTAGAAGAAGAAAAAAAAATGTTAATGGATTAATGCCACGATAGTCGAGGTAACAGGTTAGAAAACAAAACGCTAGTAGAGGAGAGTAAAAATGAGTTTAGGTGAGCAGCAGAGGAACTGAAACACAGAGAAAATAAAAAAAAGCAGGACACAGGCAAAACCGTATAAGAAACACACAAAAAAAAAAATAAAACATTCTTACTTAGGCGAAACTAAAAGTAAAGGAACAAAAAAAAAATAAGAAGGTATAAATTCATTCTCTTAGTTTTTCATAGGTTTAAAGAAATGCCAGCGGGACAGCTCGCTATAAATCATATTGGCCCCCGTACGCAGAACGCCCTGTACCACCAACCCGCGGTCATCTGTCGTGTGTATGTGTGTGTCAGTATCAAGACAAACGCCCCTTCAAATCATTTTCTAGGAGCAACAAAAGCGAAACCAAAAAAAAAAGAAGAAAAAAAAACAAAACAAAAAATGAACGAAGGTGACTTAAAATGCCTGCCACGCGACTTTTTGGGCCGGGACGATCCGAGACGCGCGATGATCATCATGTCAGGTCGTGTTTCGAGCTTCTCCGGGTGTGAAACGTTACCAGTACATTCTTTCTTTCTATTCTAGGTTTTCGTTCTCGTTTCTCTTTTTGCCGATCATTTTTCGTCCTTGTTGCTCGCTTTCGCGGCTTCTTGTGTATGTTGTGTGTGTGTATGTGTGTGCGTTGTGCGAGTGTATGCGCGCGCTGAAAAAACGTCTACGATAAAAGTGGACGCTTCGTTTCGAGCGGAGAACTTCGGGGCAAAGAGGAGCGGCAGGTAACGCGTTAACTCGTTGACGAAGGATCGTTCGCCATCGTCGTCATCGATCGTGTTTGCCATCGACTCGACGAACCGATGCGAGGGAACGACCTCGAGGGGTTTACCAGGTTCTTTAGTTCCTTTGTTCCGCCTCGAATGAAAGGCGAACGGACCGTCGAGGAGGATTCTAGATGATAGACCGAGGGTGACACGCTCGCTCGGCGGCCCTGGCCCCAAAAACTACCCTAAGTGTTCAATAATCGAGGTGTTCTTGAGGTGCCGTACACGCGTTAACACGTTCTTCCTTTCGCCAATCCCACCGAGTTTCGAATCACATCACTCGCGAATCAAATCTCGACGGTTACGAATATTTCCCCAGCCCTTTTGGAAGATTTTCTTCTGCCCCGTTGGTGCGCGCGACGGGCTGGCCGAATCGTTCGAGCCGCGTTTCAGAACTTCACCAATCTCTTACGTTTCCCGCACGAGAGAAAGAGATTCGGTAGGACCGGCGAAACAGTTTCAAATTGTTTTTCGAGACACGTGGATCGCCATCAGAAATCCAATCGGACAAAACGTTTCCTGTAAAAAAAAAAGAACAAAAATTGAAAGACAAGCAGAAAGAGGGCAGCAGTGTACCGTCGTCGCGTTGCTCGTCGAACTCGGATCTGGATTAAACAAAAGAAATTCTCTGATCGTATAAAACGTCCCCGATTTTCTTATTCGCAACGAACAAGAAAAAAACGACATTCGAGATAGGTTGTTTTGCTATGATGCCGCAGAAGGAGAGTTTTCGATGTCACGTGGGGTAACTTCGTTTCCATGGTGGTTTTCCTGGTTTCCTACTTTATGGGACATCGTTATGACATATATGTAGCTTCGTGAGTGTATGTGGTTAGAGATCGTCATTCCTGTCACAACGAAATCGAACAAAAGAAGAAAATGAGAGAAAATACAGATTTTGCCTTCGGCGGATCCCCGTGTTTCGAGGTAGGGCGCGGAGAAAATTGAGAAAAGAATTAGAATAAGAGGGAAGAAACATGGAGGGACAAGTATAGGGGGAGGGGGAGGACGCGATTGGCTCATTCGTTTATGGAAAGGAGTAATTACTCGCGATATAGTGCCGGAGCTGGATTGCAGGATCCGTGGTTTGTCGACAGGGTGTTCCGTGCCCGGGGGGCGTAGGAGCCCAAAAATAAAAAAAAATATGCTTTGCCGTCGTGCGCCTCTTTACTTTAGGCTAAGAATTAAAACATTAATAATAATATAATAATAATAATAATAATTATAATATAATACATGTTACAATAAGATATTATTAGATGTAATTATTATATATGGTTTAGTCTAGATCGTGTTGTTGAAGAAAAAAAACAAAGTACGTATAAGCGAACAAAAAAAAAGATGATGAAGACGATGAAGAAAGGAGAAGGAAAAGAAGATATGATAAAGTATGACGGTGCGGAGAGAGAAAGAGAGAACGAATGAGCGAGAGAGAGAGAGCGAACGAGAGCGAGAATAAAAATCATGGAGAAGTGACGATGAAAGGTAATTTCGGTCTAAGACCACAAATTATTGCGGCGGACTGAGCGGGACACGGACGAGAATCCGCGTTTTTTGCTTTTCGTGCCTGAATCGTTCATTTTTCTTAGGCAGCAGCTTCGTTTACGATTGAAATGTCCACTTGACTTCCGGTGCTTCCCCTACTCGACTATCATAACCTACATGAGGTAAACGATAAAAGGGGAAGTCCCTGATTTCCTTGGACATCTCTGATTTATAACCTTCGGCATGAGCACTCATTAAGAATCAGTAATCGCATTCATAAAACCGCATCGTACAGACATTCTTAACCTCCTGTTCCGCAAAGCCACGTTATTCATTTTTCGAATTACCTTCTGTAGGTTTCCGGTTATGCGGCTAGATTTACGGCCAATGAAACCTGTTCCCCTAGTTTTATGACCGTTACATTTACTGTTTTATCTTCTATCATTATCTGCAGATTCATAGAATTGGCGATCCTCGGCACACGAGTCGCAAATCTTTCGGTTGTCTACAAACGAGTACCTCGATCGTCGAACTAAACAATGTCGTAAAATGATTTTTCGGGTGAATCAGCGTAAAAACGAGAGAGAAAGGGATGCGTGAATGTGAGGGCGAGAGAACGTAGCAAACGTGTGTTTAATATACAGATCCGTTCGCTTTTTGTTTAACCGCGATCGGTGAAACCTAATTGGCCCTACAACGTTCGAAATCAAAAGCAATAGAAATAATATGAAACAAGAATCGCAAGAACGTAATAAACAAAGAAACAAAATATAGTGTCACGAGAATTTCAAAAGTGAAACGTCACCCCTGCACAGCCCGCCACACTACGGCAGAATCATTGAATGATTAAAAAAATTATAAACAGAAAAAGGAAAAAAAAACAAAAAATATGAATGATGTTTTATTAATATTGTAAATATTTTAAATAATTGAAGACGGACAAACAGATCATGCGCGAACGGTGAACCCATCGGAAGTCGGTCCCACTTAAACAGGACCGTCTTTTGCGTACGGGTCCCCTTCTACACTTTTTCTGTTTTTCGTTTTAGCGTCGCATATGTTACACACATACACACACACATGCGCACGCGCGCACACACACACACTTCACACAAGTACACGCCCAAAAAAAAAAAAAAAAAATGAAAAAATCCACCTGCGACATAGAGAGAGAAAGACACACGTACACGCTCAGATAATGTACACCGCTCTACCAAACTAATCTCTTTCTGATTGACGATTCCTTTCATATTGATTATTCTGTAAGTTCTGTTTTCACACGTGAAATACATTAAGAAAGAAACGAGAGACATTGTCCAACCCAAGTGTCATTACTTTTGATGTTAAATAAAAAATACATAATTAATAAAGCACTCTTTATCGTTTCGTCCTGACTGTGGATACTTAAACATAGCTTAGGGAGGTGACCTGCTAGATAAAAAGAATTTTATTTAACTGTTATTTTATTTTTCTTATATACAATCATTATTTTTACAATGTCCAACTTGTAGAAATTTTTATTTATTTATTATTCATTGTTTCATTCTATTTCTGAATTAGACGCCAGTCTTTGTCGGTCCTTGCGCATATTCTTCTTGCGTAACCTTTGAATGTGCTTCTTAAGTTTGCCAGAATTTTTAAGTTCTTCGTATTGGGAAACTAAATTCAAAACCTTCTTCTCAGCTGTAATAGAAAGGTTAGATTTATAATTTATATAATTAATATTCATGTATCTTTTATGTTACTTACATTTCTTTTTGAAAGCAGGCTTTTCTCCGCGTTTAATCGCTTCTACTATCTCCTTTTTTTCTTTGCTCTTCTGCTCTTCGTCTTGTTCCTTTCTCTTCTCCTCGCGTAACTGATTTTCTAATCTCTGTATAAGGTATTTGACTTTCTTTATTATCTTTGGATCCTCAGTTTCTTTCAACTGTTTCTTCAATGCTGCTAAATCGTTCTTCTTCATTTCGCCAAGGAATCCGTAAGTCTTTTTAAATACTTTTTGATCGAATGTACCGCACAAGCTATCGAACCTAGGGTCCCTAGGGATGCTCTTTTTTACGTGTACCGCTTCTCTGAATCGAGAGACAGGTTTTTTCGCGGACATTTCCCGAGGTCTGTTTTTATTTTCTCGTTTGAATTCGATTTTTCTGACCTTTCCTGGGCCAAATAGTGCTTCCTTATAAATTTTAGTTCCCAGCTTTTCTTTGAGTTTCTGTAAATCTTCGAAGCTCATCTGAGACAATTCCGCTCGAATCTGGTCCTATTATAACAATTAGTTATTTAATTGAAACATACTTCTCTTTTAAATAAATGTAAACATAACCTAGAGTCTTCTAAATAGTATTTAATTGAAACATACTTCTCTTTTAAATAAATGTAAACATAACCTAGAGTCTTCTAAATAATATTTAAACACTTCGTACAGATTAAAACACTACATAAAAATGTATTGTTTAAAGGTCTACCTGATTTTTGTCTTTGTTAAGAAGAGCATCATCGTCGTCCTTCATGTTAAATAATAATAAATATTTTTTAAACGAACAGAATTGTTGTTTGATCCACAGAAGATGCAAATGGCTCCCATCTTTTCTTTGACAAGTAATAGCCAGTGACTACAAATAGTAGAAGACTGGACAGGCCTTTGTCACCAAAGAGTCGTCATTTAGAGGGTACGCGGTACCCCAGTATGAAGTTAGGTTTCCACAGTTGGTATAACAGTCGGTCTAAGCAAAGGGGTACAATCCTTGGTATCGAAGCAATCTTCTGTTACCGTCAACGCGTGTTATACTGCTGTAGTGCGAAGTGTTTCACATTTTTATATTAAGATAAAGCAGATGGCGCTCGTTCCCGAGTCACAAATTCACGACCCTTTGTGAACAAAGGCATGTCCAGTTTTCTACTATCTGTAGTTACTGCTTATCGCAAAATTGAAAATTTCAAATAAATTCTAATAATAAGAATAATTAAACAAAATTGGTATATATTCACGCGGAAGGTAGAACATTTTAATAGATGTAACGATAGTTTTGTTAATAAACAATTGTATAATAAAAAATTGTAATTAAATAAATTTTAATAGAATAATATAAAATTTGAGAAGAAGGAACCGGCGGCGGCACCGGTGAAGCGGAACGTCACGGTTGAACAAGCAGTTGTTCCAACGGTTCAACGACGGGCGGGCGAGGTCATATCCAATCAGTCTTATCGCGACCGCCGAGGTGTGCGGATCTACTTATCAAACATAGACAGGTGTGAGTCCACGCTTGGATTATTGGAGCATGTGTTCACTTATGGATTACTTAAAGTGATAGTGCTTATACTTTAGTGTTTTTTAAACACTTACCCTTCAGCACATGTTAATTCTGATTGGCTCGAGCACGCTTTGTCTGCGCATGCGCGTTGCGGTACCGTGCAGCATACCCAATGCTCTTATCAGTGACTATAGATAGTAGTCACTACTATCTATAGTCACTGCTCTTATATTCAACATACTCTTCGTCCTCTGATGTTACTATTTGCTTCTTCTGTTCGCATGTTATTGTACACCGTGTATATAATTATCAAGTACCACAAAGCTAGAAATAAGTGTAGAGGGTCTCCTTGAGTTACGCAAAACAGGTATTTTCTCTCGTTGAACGAATGATATACTTGTCTCGTAATTTCGCATACAATTGCTAGATGACGCTGGCGGTACTGTTTTCAAACCGTACATTAATATCAAATTTACAAATCTATGAACATGATAATAATAATATATTATTAACTTATGGAATTAATTAGTTTGTAATAACACGGTGTATTCTCTAAAAGTTTGCATTTTTATGGCACAGACTAGGTTAAACATCGTCGGTAATTCAGATCGCGTGGCAGGAATTCCTTTAGCATGATTGGTCTTTTATTCTGTATCTATGTATAAAAAAGCCATTGAAAAAGGTAGAATCAATTTTGTCATCTTACAGCAATATGTAATATTTCATAATAACATTTGCTATAAATATTCCATGAATCAATCTCGTTCTATTTCATCTTTTAAAATTAGACAGATTATACATTAAATCATTCAACTTATATACGTAAATTACATTAACATGTGAAGCTAGTTATGAAAAAAAATTTATTTATCTAATAGTGCACTTCAAAAGCTCAAGACTTTGTAAATACTACATTTGGAGTACCATACTTGCTCGTTCACATTCACGATCAGTAGTAACTTTATGTAGATTTTTTTACTGATTACGCAACATTATGAAATCTCTAATTTTACGTAACGTGTTATGCCAATGTATGTGCCATAATGTGGAGACTTATTACTATACATGTATCAGGATAGGACCCTCTCAAGCTGCGTAAAAGGATAATTGTACTGCGTAAAAAAACGTAAACCCGTAAAGTGGCTCCCTCTGTTCAACTTGTTACAAGTTGAGCTTCCAAGGTTATCTGTCTCTCAAATCTAATAAACATCGTTACTACTACCTAATTGTATTGATATTTTACAGTAATTGTAAAGGAGGAATACTATGCCATTCAATGCTACAGTGCTTGAACACAATTCTAAAAGACCTATGTCTCTTACATCAAGTTTCTTGTCGTATTATGTAATAAACTTCGTAGATTCATTGACATATTTATAATTATTAATACAAACAAACAAAACATTTAAAATATTCAAAATAGGAAGGTTAAAATTGCTAGTTTGCTCGAGTGATAGTTTTTCTTTTGAATACATATATATTTCAAAGCTGTAACATCTGCACAGTTAAACAAAAAGTCATTTTTACAATATATGTAGGATACTAAAAATGACACATCATACGTATATAACATAGTTCATTAATTCATCGAAATAATTGATTTATATTCATGAATTACAGCGCCTTGATGCTCCGTTCTCAGACGTAGGTGGAACATTTGCCACCAGGGAGGAGCACCGTCAGAAGTGTCTAAAATGGCGGGTGTGCTGTTCGAGGATATTTTCAACGTGAAAGACATTGATCCAGAGGGGAAGAAGTTTGACAGAGGTGAGTCTGAAATATACCTTGTACTTTCATCTATTTACATGGACATTTTTACGGGAAAATATCTAGCGTCGTTGCCGAATTTTTAAGTATTAAAGTGAGAACGTTCCATAGACGTTCGTCGTTTACGGAAGTTGCCGGGAAGCACATGGCGTGACAGCTTGATTTAAACATTAGTTTCTGTATTCTCACTCATTAACATAGTATTTCGATCGATCGGTACAAATAGAATGCCTATTATTCAGCATTAGTTCATTGATGAAAATGCTGAATAATCGTTTGGACCGTTCTAAATTTTATTCGTCATGTGTCGACTCTTGTGTTCTGCGATGGCGGGAATTTCGAAGAGTAAATAAAGGAAATAGAATCTTACAACTATATCGAGTTATTTCATATCGAGTTAATAATGATAAATATCAAGTTACTATTGGATAAAAGTATGAAAAGAATGTAATTTCAATCGTTTTAGACAAGTAAGATGATTTTAGGACAAAGACTGAAATATTTGTTCACTCTTTTAATATTTTAGTTTATATTTCTAGTGATGTTGATCTGTATGCAATGTGTTGTTTTCTTTTCATAATTCATTTCCTTCGACTGAAGTACATTTGGTATTACACTTTTATTAAACTTCTCGTAAAAGTGCAATAAAAAGTTTCTTGCAGCGTAACTCTTTCTAAAAAGAGGGCGCAGGGGTCGAGCACGTTTGACATTAATTTGAAAGGTAGTGCTTTGTGACAAAACAGCTTCATTCTTCTTATTACCTTGAACTCTGATTCACGATTTGCCACCAATATTTCTTTCATCTTGTACAACCGTCAACAGATCCATTTGTCGCATAAAATTTATTATTTCGTGACATAGAAAAGTTTGTTAAAACAGTTACTAATTGAACGTCACGCGTGTTCGTTGTCGATGTGCATTCTGCACCTTATCGCTCTTTGTTATCGACATTTCACTCTGCGTACAGGGAAAAGTGGCAGAAATGAAATATCTTTCTTCACGGCTTTCTGTCCATTTAATTTTTTCTTATTTATATTCGTTCTTTGCATTTTTTTACTTTTGTTTATCGTTGCGGGAAGTTCGTACGTTCAAGGTCATTTAAAAATTGATACGCATACCAGAATAATGCGTCATTGATGTTGTGCATACAACGGCATTTCAACGAACGTGTTAAATCTAATTTTAAAAATGAAATTTTTACTTCGTATCGCTTGTTCTTTACAAACAAATTGGTATTATTTCGGTACAAATAACACTCGTTTAATAATTAATCGACTTTATTCAAATTTCGCGCGCATTTACATATACATACATATGATAACAGACACACGCTTAAGAGGCATTTTGAACACAATTCCTTCTTCATCGAGACGATCGATGTAGATATAATCCGCATAAAACGCGCGTAGAGTTGTTCGCGTCACCCTGTATTTTCACCTACATTATCGGCGGGGAAAGGGTTCCGCTGGAACAGCAGCAGCGTTCCACGCAGATGGGTGTTAGTGGGGCCGAGCACGCGAGAGAACGAGAGAAAAGACAGGATCTCGGTTAGCAGGGAAGAGGAGGCACAGTTAGGTTTGGGAAAAGGGGAGCGGAGATGCAAGTTGCAACTCCTTGTCAGATTTAGGCATGGAGATTGACTATACGATAAATGTACCCTTTCTTCTCTTATTCCACAAAAATAACGATTAGTCGATAGATTCTATGTAACTGTGATAATTCACTGTAATTAGGAGTATGAGGGTACTTTGTTCAATATACCATAGAATTGAAATGGAGCTTGAAACATGATGGTCAGTTGATATAACTAGAACTCTTGTCCTAGGGAAATTTTATTAGAGGAGACTTGGTTACTATCCCTTTCGAACGCAACTCCTACCTAACACAAACCTTTTCAAAAAACACCTAGGTTACTTTGCCTACATTTCAAATTCACAAGTTCTCTTGAAACTTCCATCATGCTAGCCTTGCCTGATCGCATCCTCGGACACGGTCTCTATTTTGCATCGAAAATATTCCCCATCATTATTCCTCTCGACTTTCACCGAACGCGGATAGACATTTATATATGTAGGTATATAGAATAAAAGGGCGGTGGGACGCGATCCGCCGACAGCGAGCTATGTGACGGCTGCTCGAAGGGTGGGTTGGGGTGAGAGGAGAGGTCGCGCGATAGGTTTGCATGGGGTGAGCGGGGGCTAAAGAGGCGAGAGGGGTGGTAGTCTGCTGCGGCCGGTCGATGCAGCAACGACGCCCGCAGCCGCAGCAGCAGCAGTAGCAGCAGCATCGAGCAACATCGCATTCGCGTAATACGACGCGACTCTGGATACCATGGCGTGGGCGCTAGAGTGGGGTACGGGGCCGGAGGTGAGCCGCCGGGACGCGTTAAAGCAACCTGGTGGGGGTTGACACGGTCAAGGTCAGTCTCTATTCCAAGGTCACGGGGAGATGTCATCCCAGGAGGGAGCTGCGCGATCTTCTTTCTCTGTTACTCTTGCACGTACCGCATCTTCATCGATCCCCCTTTCTCTTTCTATCGCATTTATCCACGAGCACGGTTTTACTCGCGCTTTTTCTCCCGATCGATGATTGCATCTCCGTACCCCCCACGACAATTACCGTGCAGCCGAGCTTTCTTTCGTTGTTTGCTGCTTTCCCAGCTCTCCTTGTTTTTGTCTGGAATTTTTCCCCCATCGATACTCGCCGCATTACGACGCTGATTGAAATTTTTACCTTATCGGATGTTCCATGTACCATCTTCATATAATTAATAGTCTTCTTTTTTTTTCAATTTTATAAAAGTATGAAGCGTGTTTTCAACGCGATTCGAAACGAAGAGAGGCATTCCTACAGCGAGAATGCTGAAACAAAGGCATCAAGAGATGAAATGATATTTTTAATTCGTTCCATTAATCCAGCTTCTTGCTTCTGACGGCCGTTTTGCCAACATGATATTCCAATAGGGTGTGCTCCTGTAGCTCTGACGTGCGATATCGACTTCATTTCCATTTCTACGTATAAAATTCATCGTGTAGAATGGCTGTCGGTGAATTTCATCAGGATGCCTTTGTAGGATGTAATTGCCCACGCACAGTAATGAAATATTTTTTAATTGGATTAGTTGAGCTTCGAGGCTGGAAGTTAATGGAGTAAATGAAAAGTATAAGATTAAGAAGGAATAGCTACAGCATAGACCTAGATTTGCTATTTGTAGCAATTCTAGAGAGATTTAGAATCTCGTTTGTTCCTCAATTAGTACACTCGCGATCAAATCGGACTTCCCCATTTTATATCCCCACGAACACTCTCGTGGAGAATGACAATGTAGCGAAATGGACCCTATATGTATATATATGTACATACACAGATATGGTATCGGCCTCTGACCAATCACGTGCACGTAAACGTTTACGTGGGGTATTTAAATTGATATTTACTTATTATCCATATTTCTCAGTTATATATTAAATTTTATAATATTTAATAATAAGAAATGGTATTATTTTTGTTCTAAATTACTTTTAACATTAATATCGTAGAAATTGAGAATTGAGAAGTCTAATTTGATCGCGAGTGTACCTCAGCCTCTGCACTGCCATGCCGTATCATTTATCTAGATAGTTATCAAAATCGGCACAACTGTGGTAGTTTTAGAAACTTAAATCCTGGAGAGCATCTGGTACATATGGGTCGGATGTCCAATAACGATTAAGGCCAAGACCTTGGCCGAACTTTGAATCCAGCAAGGTTCTGTATATCCTTCAACGAAATTGACAGATTGCAATTTTTCACTTTTAATTTTTCCTTCATTTCACCCCGAAAATAGGTAAAGACGAAATTTTTAAATTTCGAATTACATAGCCTTTTGAAGATCGCTTCTGACAGTAGGTCACCTTCTATTGCCGGGTGCTGAGGTAATTCGAAGCAATTTGCTCGGAGAACTCAAACTGATCGCTGACGAACCTAATAATTTTCTCCTTCTGTCCAAAAATCTTGCATACGCGGTTCTAATTTTATTTTTAACCAAAGAAACACGTATCAAGAATAATAAAACATTTTTCAATATTGTTTCTCGTTTATATTTTACTATTTTTCGAAATTGATGAAAGTTGTAATATAAATCATTATCGATTCAAACTCAGTGTAGATGTACACGTGAGCAGTGTGCTGCATCGAATTACAATTCAGAGACGAGTGGAAGCACCCAGATACTGTATTTAACCACTCTAATAGTTTCTTTAACGACCTAATCAACGTGGCTACCGTAAACTCTAATCACAGATTAAATTACATGTCTGCCACATGGTAGTTTCGATTTCGCTATTCAAAACATTCCTTTGTTATCAAATGTAGCTATCTACCCTTTGAAAACATTTACACGAGAAATTGTTAATGAAGATTATGTCAGAGTTAAATAACCTTAGACATTTGACGATTTTATTATTCCTAAAGAATTTGGTTTTACAAAGAAAACTTCAGTTACGCCAATGCCTTGCATCTCTCTTTTAAGGTGTTTATTTTTCTAGTTGCTATTCAGAATTGTTCTTCCATGTTTCCTAATACCCCCGTTCTTTCGGTATCATGTTTAGGACAGATACACAATGATGTCGTTACCGCGACCGATCGTCGGGGTATTCAATTATATACCATTTTCGGTCGATTATATAAGGAAACGATCGTAGGAGAGAATTAATAAAGAATCTTTGAGAAACTGTATCTAGTGTTAGCACGGGTTACATCAGACACCGTCCGTCCAGTATTATCCGTTTAATCTGATAAATGACGTCGAGTTAATTAGGCAATGGTGAACGAAACGCAACCGCGCCGCAGCGGATGCAAGGCACGTAAGTAAGTACTCAACGCGCGTGATCCTCGTCCTCGGTTGGGCCTCTCCTTGTCGTCGGTATTCGTCTGATCTGCGCTTATTCCTTTCGCACCGTGACCTATTTCGACGAGATGAAGGTGAAGAAGGGAAAGAAACGAAAATGGCAACAACAGAAGGCGCATAAATTGGCACGTGACCGAGTCGTTTGGTTGTTCGTGTTACGATTTGTTGGTTCGACGGTAGAAGGGTAACATGGTAGAGTTTTGTCTCACAGTCGCTCCACTGTACGTAGTTACTTACAAAGTTGCTCAGACTAAATGGCCCGCTCGTACTAAACGCAGTTCCTCGAAGTTGCTTGTTAAGTTGGCACACCTACAGTAATTTCAGGCAATCTTTGCGTCGCATTACTTACAGCACAAGTGTGTCCATTTGTCGAGGCAGCGTTCGATAAATGCTCTCTGCACGATTTTCATGAACAATGAAAAGTGGTTCTATTGTACCTCTGTGTGCTGCGAGAAATGCACCACTAGACGGGAATATGTAAATGCGTGGAAAGTGAAGATACGGGGAACTGATAAATTTGGAAATTCTTGTTTTATTTCAAATTGAAATTTCATATATTTAAAGTTTAGTAGTTTTCTGTACATGCAAAACAGTTAGTTTTCCAACAGATTTTCCTTAGTACTGTTTCCAAAAACATCGTGTTCTCTTCAAAACCGCTAGAAAGCAATTTTTTCCATTGTAGCAATCGCTTTTTAGCAAGGAGAAGCGCGGTACCACCTGACAACCGATGGAGGCACGCGATTGGTCGCTGTAGCCGGCGGCGGACCAATCGCGTGGTTCCTTTGGGCATGGCGCGTCGTGCCGGTTACCGGCTTTCGTACTCGTTTGGCTGCTGTGCCCGCGGCTGGTTGGTTTGCTAGCAATTGCGCTCCAAGATAGAAGAAGTAAACGCGAACGGTATGCTTGTTCACGCGAGAAGGATAAAAGTAAAATCGCGATCGCGACAAAGACAAAAGTGTTCGTAGTTTATGTTGGTTTCACGAGAGACGGCCAAGGAAGAAAGATTGAACGAGCGCGGTTAGAACAACGAGGACAAAAGTAAATAGCAAAGAAAAAGAAAATAAACGTACGCGCGCGACGAGCAAAATCAGAAAGAGGTGGAAAAAGTAACGAGAGCATAGAAGCGAGACGACGATACGACGGTACGACGGAACGGTTCAAGCAAGAAAAGAGCGAACGAGAGCGCGAGAAGGACACATTAGTGAAAAAGGGGGGCACGGTGGTGCGGTGCCGGCTGCCTTCGGCGAGTCGACAGTTTGGCGTTCGGTGTTGCTAGGCACGAGGGCCACTGTCAGTGCCAAGGCGGCAGCCGGCAACCTTCTCGCGACCGCGAATCATTGCCACATTTTTCTTGTTTCTCTCGCGTACGCATTCCGTCATTCTTGTTGCTCTTTCTCACGGTTCGTTCCGATATTTCATTATTGTTTTTCGTCGCGAGCCATGATTCCCGTCGTAATGCATTTCGAGACTGTTCCAACGGTGAACCCAACCGGCACCCAGCAGCCGGGTTGGCTTTCTCCGGCAGCACTGCGTCGTCGTGGTGTTGCGTCTGCGTGCGTGTGTGCGTGAAAACCTTCAGAAAGGACATTCAGCGAGGACATGCGAATTCAGTAAAGTGATGGACGATAGGACACCTTTTGAACGATCGGTTTCGACACACGGAATTACACAGCGTTAGAAAACAATGGCTCACCATGATGCCGATAACCAGGTACGGGTCAAATTATTTTTCGCCAACCTTTTCTTTTTACGAAGCCAGATGTTTAAAATTGAATTTTTTAAACGTCAATTGTTCTTTACACCTTAGATAAGGAATAATTGAAGGACGTATGGAAACGTTTTATAGGAACCAATGATAGTGCAGTTTCGTTGAATTATTATCTTCATTTAATGCGAACACTTAAGTTTTTACAATTCCATTTTATTTTTGTTTTCTTATAATTACCTAACAATTTTACGTTGAAATAGCACTTTAAAATGTTGCAAAATACAGTTATATTGTTATAACCACCGTGTTATATACTCAATTGCATAAAAATTCAAATACTAATGCAACCCGTTTAAACACGTCTTATCGCACAACTGAATATCATGAAACGTAAAAACATTTTTGAATGCTTTATGCGAAATAACAAGTGGTATATACATTAGAAGTAAACCTTAGTCAAAATCTACAATACGAATAGTAGCAACATATTACATGATGTATCTTAATGTTGACGCAATACTGGGTAATCGTTACGAGATTCGAGAAGCTGTATCGTTCCTTAACAAACTCGTGTTGGCGGTCCGTGTTATGCACTAATATACGCAGTCGGCGTTTACACGGCAGACTATGACGCAAAATCACGGCAAAAACAGGAATCGAAGAAAGTGCGTAGTTAAAACCCTCTCTGATTTGTTGCAGAACAGTCAGGGGTCTGTAGATGTCCTCGTTGACGCGATCGAGGGGAACCAGTATAAATCAACTGTGATGCTTCTGCATGCACGAGATGAACATGCGCAAACGTGTGCGCGCATCGTTTACACTGTTACACTTCGGCAATCAATGTTAGGAATTTTTTTTTTCGGTATTATTTCCACCTCCCAATACCTATATTCAAATCGAGTAAATACTTTTTCAGTCGCTGTACATTATATTTTCGATTTTGAAATCTTAGTATGAATTTTATATCTATAAAATACTTTCTTAATAATTTTGCTCTTTTTCCACATTTAAAAAAATTTTTTTTTTTCTTCACTTTATATGTCAGTGTCTGGGGAATTCGAAGACGACCGTCGGCTTCCGTCATTATTCATGCGCAAGTTACAATATCCGTCAGACGAATGTCCGCGAGCGATATTTCTCTCGAGAAACGTTTATAACCCTCCAATAAACGTCGCGTGGTCGTGTATCGATCGGAATCAGTTACCGGGCTGATTTTTTCTCTGTCCGTCTCATCTCTTTATCTACCGTGGTCAGATTGACTAACAATTACCGTGTGTTTTTGTTGATCGACTTAAGTCCGCGATCTTTTACCGGCCGTTACTTTCTGCCAATCGAAGCTATGTCAAAAACCGGTTCTTAAATCTTGGATCATTACAAAGCGTCGCGTACTTGTCCCTCTGTTCTCCGTTTCGACGTTCAAACATGAACGCGTACCACACAGGATGTATAGGCTGATTTGGTTCGATTTTGCGGCGTATTAATTAATCGGACGCACGCTTCGGTGGGCGTCGGTAAAGTAGCGCGTTTATACCATCATCTATCCGCTGTGTTTACCGCGTGTAAAGAGTACGTGTCAATAACAGAACATCGGTTGCCCTAAAGGAGAAACATGGTTAACAAGGGATGGTGTTCTGTTCGGGCTTTGTTGTACAGGTTGCACGTGCGCTCGCTTCTGCGTAAAAGGTCAAAAGATCGTGAGGGAAATCATGTTCCCGGCAATTAATCTTCCCACTGAAACGTATTGAGATACCTTGCTTACAAATACACACGCTTTGCGTATATCCTCTTCACGGGGTAATAGGGTTATTATGGTTGAACATTTTAATCCTCGGACGGCGGACCATGGAGAGAGCCCCAATTTTAATTTATGTTATTTTCATTTTGTAAGTTTTACACTATTCCTTTTAAAATTAGGATAAGTTTCCGAATGCCCCCCCCCCAATTGAGAACTCGGGTTCAGTATATAACCTATACTGAGAGCTGGATGTCTTACCGTTTTTAAGATATCGTGATAAGAAATTTGTGTACAATTTTGGGACTACGTATACGCTATTCGATACTGAATATATGAACCTAACTTAATCTAACCTAACTTTACCACGATATCCCGAAAACGGTAAGACATCCAGCTCTGAAACCAACTTAAATCGGTTTCCTGTAGTTAATTTTGGTGGAGCCGTTCGGAAACACAGCCAATAATTATACTAAAATCATATTATAATATTAAAATCGCTGACTAATGGGCTAGGTTATATTTTTATTATATTTTGAAATCTCGAATTTTCTAAGTTTATTCCTTGTTAATAAGAATTACTTTTCATTGTCTAATGGCATCGAAGTAATCACGTTTACTGCAAAGCACCCAAGGGTGAGATTCGTCCAGGATCAGTGTCTAAAGTAGTTAGTGTTGGAAATGGTGAAACACATCGGTCGGCCATAAACCCAGCGCGACAGGCGGACGAATGAAGTGCTTATCGTTTCTCGCAATTCCTCTATAATTCCATGGCGGATTTAGTGAAATTTTTTGCTACCCTGTCGTTCTTGTCAGCCGTAATGATATCTCCTCCTACACTCTTATTCGAACCAACGACACTCTTCCACTCGAGCGGCAGTCCTTCTCGCTTTTTCTTTTTTTTCCTTAACTTTCAAGAATTTTATTGACGTATCACCGACAATTCATTCCGGGAATCATACGGACACTAATCATTTCTTAGGAAATTCATTTTTCTCGTTTCCACACTACTCTTATTGTGCTCAACCTTGTATTAGTTTTAATATTGTCTGGTTCATCTTTCAAATATTTAATATTTTCAGAAGCTCATTAAAATCTGTACAAACTTTGAAAATTCTCAAACCATCCACGGTAGTTCGAGTAACGTTATAAGCATCGAGTTGCGAAACTTGCACGCGTAATCAGGATATTGGCAAGTATTTTCTCGCTCGGGAACCCGTTTGGTCCACCTTGAAGTTCGCGAGCCTAGAGGTCCTCCAGTTTCGAAATGTCTCCCGCGCCAGGCTTAGACGCTATTTGAAGAGATTACTTTCGAGGACCGGTCCGCTTCACTAGTCGGCCTTGAGACCAGCTGACAAACCGAGGAAGAAGCGCTAACACCATTCGAAATGGTCCCTGGTGGCAGGGGGGATTGCGCAATGCTTCGAAATACCATGACATCGATTCGCCCATTCTATCACCCTGCAATCTCATCAGGCTCAGCAACCTTTTTTGAGAAAAAAATACAAAGAAACCGTGTATATATAGGAAGTTTACTTTAAACACAATAATTTCCCCTAAAATCATTTGTATCTTCACAAGTGATAAAATAATTCATTGGGACACCCTGTATAAGCGCAAACGTGTGGTCGCTTCTTTATAATCCTCTCTTTCTCTGTTCTGCTTCTTTTTCGTTTCTCCTCTCTTTCTCACCGATGTTCAGGTCTTTTTTGTATCTTTTGCAGGCCAAATGTCGGGCCTGGCCGACGGATAAATTTATTTTCGTACACGCCTTTCGACTTCACGGGCAAAGAGATTTATGCAGAGAATTCATGGTGAACTTTCAAGCGTACCAGGATTATTCATACCCCGCGGTCGCTCGATGAGGAATTAGAGAACGAGTCTACATTCGTTTTTCAGTTAAACGCTTAGAGATAGATTTTTATTTTATTTTTTTTTTTTTTTTTTTACCAAGACCTTTTTGGCCCGATAAATGTACCCTCAGTATATTTCTGCTAAGGTATATTCCTTAGGGTTATAGGGAATTTTGGGGTTCCCGTACATGTACACCCTTACAAGGGGAACTACCCAAGTGTTTACGTTCACTTATTAATGAAACTCTGCGACCTTGTTAAAGCTCGTCGAGCTGAAAATGCCTGTACCACATTTTGTGGGCAAAAGGCTAATTGTTTAAAAGATATTAATAATTAAAGTTAGTTACTTTTTACATTCTGAAGTACAACACTCACACATAGAAACGATTAGCTGATTTGGAATCAAATCCTTGGTTCCAAACGTTTTTTTAACTTGTATCTTTTTGAATATCTATTGCAGCTGTGTTATAATAATTGCATTTATTAATAATTAATTACTAACGCTGCAATTTTTATAGAATTTAAATTATGTTTATGATTAATATTTTGACCTTTCTATAACGTTAGATAATCATCCATAACGATAGAGAGGATTACCTGTTGGAGAATTTTAATTTTCACATTTATCGCGAATAATTAAGATCACTTTGGAGTCCTCCTTAATGGCGGAACTCGTAATTCAAATCGACCGCAAGAGAGACAGATACGCCGACGTCCCAATGATTCGCGACGACCTTCGATTCGTCGAGTGGCTTCACTGATCGCCAATTCGGCTGACGTGTTCGGCTCGATGTGTGCCATTTTATTAAATCGATCAGACCGAACGTGTCCCCTTTGTGCCTTTTTCTCAATCATCCTGGCTTTTGTTATCGTCCTATCTATCCTTGTGCCAACGCTGAAATTCCTATTTCCCGCTTTGAGGCTATCGAAATCTTGCTTATATAATTTTATAAGCTCCATACATCCATTGTAATACCTGGGTCGACGGGCTGAAAATTCGCCTATTAACTGGGTTTATAATCAAAACGTCTCTTAGTCGCCATTAACCCTTGATCAAAGGAAATGGGAGGGTGGTAAATACACAGGAATATAAATGCACGATATTAAAAAGAAATTAACAAAAATGTTTGATTTTTATAAGGAACATTTAAAGATTTATTATAGAAAATGAAAACGATATGATATACAATATTGAATGAAAATTTGGGCTCTCTGCATGGTCCGTCGTTCGAGGGTTAACATTACAGAACGCTAAAATTGTGGCAAATAGCAGAATTGCTTAAAATCGCGTTAAAAATGGGCGTCCAAACGGGACTACCCCTTAAAAAGTAGCGTCGATAGAGAAGTTTAGAGGAAAGAGAAGCGAGAAAGAGAAAGGTTGTAGCTAGAGTTGAAGCGAGAGAGCAGAGGGGTGGGGGTACGGGAGATGCGTCACCGGGAGGGTGGTAGTCATACCACCCTCACCCTCCCGTGGCACTTTTGAAGGTCAAGGTTTCGCGCCCCTCTGTGTGTGCCAGCCAAGAGGATTACGTGGCGGGAGGGCGAGAGGGGAGGTTGCAGGCGTAGAAGTGTTGGTAGACGGGGAAGTGACGGCAAAGGGGTGTGTGCGTGGGTGGCTGGGGGTGTGCGCCAGGGGTGGCGAGAGCCCGGTGCCCAGTATTTATAGCGCTTGTGAACCGGTCGATAGCGGATAGCGACACTGCGCAGTTGGGAAGCCCTCGGTACCCAAGTACACCCCTCCGTTCTTCCTCCGATCCTCCTCTATCCTTGTCCCTCCGGTTAAACCACCCCGTGTTCACCCTTTTACCAACCTCTTACTTGCTCGACCACCCCTTTCGTATCAAGGCCTTTTTGCTTCCTTTTTTCCCTTTTTCGACTGTATCCGCTCTGCCCTCTCTTTAAACTTAATTTTTTTTTTTTTTTTTTTTTTTTTTTCGATACGCCGCAAAAGAGGCACCTTTCCTCAGGATATTGGTCATGGATGCTACGGAGGGGGTGCGAAATGGTCGATATCAATATCGATTGGCAGTTTTTAGCAGCGACGGTTTCGAAGTCTTCTCAAGCGTTTAAAGAGCAGTCGTTTATTGAGAATCTGTTTCCTTCAATGAATTAGATACTGACGTGACCCTACTTAACCAGATCTTTTCTTCGATCTAAGTGTATACGGTAACCACTTAATGGCGGGTGACTATAGTCACCTGTGGTAACGAAATGGGTTTAGGCATTGGTGATCCAACACGCGGTATCGCGTGATCAGTTTCATAGAAGTGACATCGCGTGGCCGGGGGTATTCCTGAAAACACACCAGTGTATCTTGATCGGTGTAGAAGTAGGCTTAGTGTATTATCCGTTACACGTCCTAAATATACAAAGTTGGAATCTATTTCTGCGGTAATTCATGTAACACCTTATTGGTATATGATTATTAAGAATGATCAATTCCAGTGCGCTAATTGCGAATTTCTTGATTCTATTAACTCGTTACCTTATGTTCCACCGTTGCGTTGGGCGAATCGACAATTTCATTTGGAAATGTTCTTAAACAATTTCGACTAACAGGAAGAGATGAAATCCGTGGATAAACAAAAGCGCGGGTTATTTTTAGAAGAGAGATGTAAATTGGCCGGCAAATTTGATGGACGAACCACGAGCGACAAACGCTTTGTTTGAAGAACCACCGACCTAACCAAATGCAAAATAACGTCGGTGAACCTCCCTTCTGTGTAGACAAAAGAAAAGAAAAAAAAACACCGGCCTCAAGGTAACATAGAGTGAAAGCAAAAATAAAAAAAGAACAAGGAGAGAAGTTCGAGCAAATAAAAACAAGAAACTGTTCGAGAAGAAAGAAGACGGTAGTACTGTTGTTAGATAAAGAACTTGTCTGGAAAAAAAGGGACGAGAGAAGCTACGTATCAACGTGTGTATATGTACCTGGTGCAGAGGGTGAAAGAGGGAGAGGGAGAGAGAGAGAGACGATAGTATAAGATTGGTAGGGAGTGTGAGAGAGAAACAACGAAGTGGAGAAAAGAGAGGAGGTCAGAGGGTTAGCCAGCGCCGCCCCTAACCAGCTGGCGGGGGTAAATCTATTGCCATTCCTTTCTGGGTGCATTGGGTGGTTGTCACCCCCTACTAGTTTCATCACGAAACAGAAAAAGACGGATACGGAGGAAGGAGGACGGAAGAAGCGTGGGCGTTTCTGTGAAGGCAGAGATAGAAGGTTGTGTTGGTAGAGCAGAGAGAGAGAGAGAGAGAGGGCAACGATGGTGGTGATCGCTAGCAGACAATAGAGAAGGACAGGTTACGTGCGTTTCGTTGGAGAGAACTTATCGGCCGACCGTAAAGGTCGTCGTTGGTTGCATTCTCTTTACTACTTCTTGCATCTATTTCTTTCTGTACCCTCCATCTTCCACACGCAGTCGCAGGGAGTCTTTAACGACTGACTGGACCAGCCGGTAGGAACGTTAGGAGATAGAAAGATCACTGTTCATTGTGGAGATAGTATATGAAGGAAAATGATACTCTACTGGCTTTCAAAATAGCACTTGTAAATATAGTTAATAGGATCTCGGTATCAGCCGATGATCCCTGATATTAGTGGGTAGATTTACGTCACAGTCATTTATTTCATTCATCCAGCAAATGTCTAGAGCGAATCAGGTTTAGCCCTCATCCCTAAATATAGATAGCCTTATAGATAGAGCAATATCTCACTTGGTCTTATTAGTAAATCCGGACCACCCTGTATATCATATGTTCAGAAAGAGAAGACGAGGGTAGTTAGAATAGAGAGGGAAATGATAGAAGAGAAGGGGAAAAACATAATCTGATCACATCAGCTGACAGAGAGTCACTTTACCAACAGGGAATAAACTTAATCTAAGTCTTCACAGTCGGAAAACATTTTCCAACCACCCTTAAACAATCGCTATTATAATTTTGCAAAACTATTAGTATCCTCTATAATGGCGCAAAGTTCGAATCCCAAACTAATCAAATGGTGCAGTTGGCAGTGGCAATTAGCCCTTTCAGAAGCAAACAGGAAGTTTCTTTTTTTTATTGATAAATATTCAAGAAGCAGTGGAATCCCTGATGATTCTATACTTAAACGACGCATTAACCAAGATTTCTCTGAATGTACACGAGGGTGGTGGTGGTGTATCTGTCGGAAGGCTAGCCAGGAGCAGCATCGAGGGAGAATCAGCCCTCCTGCCCTTTCCACGATCAAGGAGCGAGAGATAGGAAAACACAATGATGGTTAGAGTGCGACAGGTGAAGAGGAAGGTTGGAGTGGGAGGGTTGAAGCATTTCGGGGCGGCGAAGAGGAGGATAGCCGTCGCGTGGAGTAGGGTGGGTAGTAGGGTAGCTAAATCGTGGGACGAGTGGGGAAGGGTTAGAGGGTGTGAGAGTCGGCTGGCAGTGTGGTGGGGGATAAAGGCAGGTTCCGTGCGTTTCGTTGGAGAACACGTACCACCAGGCGACCGTAAAGATCGTCGCTGCTCCTCTCTCCATCGCCGCATAGAAGTCGAGCAGCTGGTAGCAGGAACGTCAGCAACGAGGAACGGATCAGTCCACCGTGTGCCACCTTCGGGCTCCTTTTGATAAACCATCCGCGGTGCGGAACCAGTCTCTCCCTTTTTTTTTTATTATTCCGTCGAGAAATACATGTTCGCCAAACCGAGTTTCGAGAGACAATGGAAAGTTACAATGAAACAAGGAAAGGGATGATGAAAGTTGTAAAAAGATTAAACGGTGTTATATCAATGGTGGATCGATGGAATAGAAGGCAGTTTTGAGCAAGGCTGAGATAAGCGGAATTAAAAAAAGAAGTTAACGAGAGAAGATGAGGACCAATCAGTTGCTGTTGATGGTTGTCAATGATCCACGTCGTCAATTAGCGTGAGTAATTGGAGGAAATAGATTCTTGTAGAATTCGATGTCTTACTAGGAGAAGACCCCAACTTTTAGAAAATTTAGTATGTTTCTTCCTTACTGAAAGTACAGCAAAATGTAACGTGTATGCAGCTTTGGAATAATTTTTAATGTTTCAAAAGTCTTTCGACAATTGGCATTTTAATAGTAATCGTAAAATGTTCCTTTATCGCGTAGCGGTGACTTATCGTTGAAATAAATTTCGTGTAGGCTTCGAATTTTTAAATAAGAATAGGAAATGATTCTTCAATTATTTCGATTGGTTATCATTGAAAAGCCGATATCAGGAGGGACTTCGAATTCATCAGATGCACGTATGATAATTAGTAATTCGTTTAGATTGGAAATTTGATTTAGTGCAATAATCTTCATCAATGAAACATTTTCCTACGCTTTTATGTTACTTCTTTCAATGGAAATAACAAAGGAATAATTGTGCGCACGAGTTCATTCGGTATCGTAATTTAACCCTTTCGGGTGCGGATCATGAAGAGAGCCCCATTTTTAATTTAATTTTGTATTTCATATTACTTATATTTTCTAATACACTGTTCGTGTAAAAAGTTATTCTTTCACTATATAAGTCACTACGAATCACTTGGTTGAAAAAAGTTTCATTAATTCACACAAGATTGAGACATAGATACGTAGAAATTACATCTTCAAAGGAGGAGATAATCATTGTCAAGTCCTTTTAGAAAATACATGGAAATTTAACAAAAAATGTCCGGCACTCTTGAACAAAGCTTAGCCAAGAAAAGGAAAATGGGGAAATAATTCTGAAACGTGAATGAAAGAAGGTTTCTTCCGTTTCGTTTTCCCGCGACATATAGTCTCATTTCACGAATGTCTGTTATTTCATGCCTTTGCCGCTGAATTATCGTATCTTATTACTGTTACGCGTGTACAATGCGTGTGTAAATTCAAGAGGAATTATCGTCCTGTTAGCCGCGATTTCGGAATGGCGCGCGATTCAAAATCGCCGTGTCACGCGGACGGGTCCATTACGCGGGGATATGCAACGTAGCTCGCTTCTGATTGGTTCGCGCCAAACACAATGGCGTCACGGAAAACAAGACATGCTCTCGCGCAAAGGACGAATTATGTAATTGAAACGATACCGATTATCGTCGAAATTGTCAAACGATGCCGTCAAGATACGGAATTCTACTTTCGTTACAAAATTTACGTAGTTCCAAGGACAATTTGTTTACTCGGGATGACATGTCGGATTGTAATCCTAGATTCGATACACGATACCAGCGGAGATATCATCGGGCTTCACAAGATCGCCATTTCGCTGTAAATCTGCATTAAAATAAGACTGAACAAAAGATTTTCAATGAATTTCATTTATTTATGCTTCTTTTTAATCGACTTCGAAAAAGGAGGAGGTTACCCAATTCGATCAGTATATATTTTTGACATTCTAGTGAAAAGTACAAAGTTCTACTTAGGTTCTAATAAATTAACACAAACTTATCGTTTTTGCACGTGTATATATGTATTACAGAATAAAAAAACCAAAGAAAGAAATATTCGCGTTTCGTTTTTCCTCTTTGTTGGGATCGCGCGTGATCGGAACCTCCGCCGCAATGACGGCGAATGACGGTCTTACACGAAAGACTTCATGAGTCACTCTCGTCGCTGACATCACGTGATGCCTTGGTACCTTTTTTATTTTCACGTGATATGACGTGTATCTTTAATACGAGATCTCTTCTCCCTTGTGTCTGAGATATTTTGCATGTATGCAGAGTGTGCCTACTGTACCTAGAGTTCCATAGGGAAAATGACAATGTAGGGGAATAAGTCATAATATCGGACAGAGTTTCTAATTTGCATGAAACATTTTGCTATTCGACAGAGTAACATTTCTCCGAGTTTAACACGATGGGGAGACAGTTCTGGATACTGTATCCATGACAGTTGGGACACCCAGCATATTGGTACAAAACAGAACCCAGATAATTAATGGTATTTTTGGTTTCTTTTTTTTTTCTCGATTTCCCTACACGGCTGGCGATCAATGATGATGGGTTGCAGTGAGCAGACTCCATTGCGAGTCCGAGTCCTTCAAGATGGACCTGATCCTCGACATCAACAGCTGGTTGTATCCAATGGAATTAGGTGAGTGTTTCTTAGATAATTTTCACTTTTTTTCTGGACCTATGATCAAAACGAATTGAAATTAATTAAAAGAATAATCGAGAAAATATTTTTTATAATACACCGATAAATCCATATTATCTAGTTAGGAGTTAATTTTAGCCCGATCGCTCATCCTGCTGTCATGTTCATCGAGAAATATGTTTGCCAGCTCTAGATAAAGGAGCATATGGTACTCGTTACGCGGTGCCATGAGATTGACAGTTCGTAAAAAACCTGTGTATATCAATTTCGTAACCGGAAAATTTTAACCATCTAATACCCCTAAGCGGATCGGGGTAGGCGTCTCGAGTCCGAAGGTTGCATCGCATGAAAATTCTGTTTGCCATATTGCAGAAGCGCTGTCACGACTCTTGCGTTTGTTTACATCACGCGCGACTCTTCTGTGGGAATATCGTTTGATCGATACGTTCGAAGCATAAATTTTGCAAGATAAACCCGTGTAAGGTTTACAATCTCGTATAATCTGACATGTAGTCTAAAACTTTCGTCACGTTTATGTTTAGTAAGTTTATTATAAGCATACGCTTCGACAGGCTACTTTTCAGTGATATTTGAATAACAAAATGGCGTTCGTATTTCTGTAAAGATCAGATTTCATACGGACATTTCGAGGTTAGAGTACATCTTTATGTTCCGCACATAGAAAACTACTTTCTGTATATTCTTTCACTGACAACATATTGACAGTTCGGAATTTTGTAAGTTCGCGAGTTCCCCTGTCAGATATATTTTTGATATATTTTTAACCCGACAACAGATTTACCTACGCGTGAAAGTCGCGCAGAACATTTGCGACGCATATGGCAGCTGCGTAATATTTAGGTTTCTGTTTTCCTTCTTAAGCGAACTTCACAGTCTCCGCTTCCGGTTGCGTGGATAATGGATGCCAAATCCATTGACACGCGCTACTTCTGATTCGCGTTGAAATTCTGTTTAAAATATCATTCCTGAAATGTATTCGGGGCCAGAGAAAGAGAAAAGATACTCGTTCCGAAGGGCGTGATCATCGATGTCCGAGAATCGATAATACCCCTCTATCTTGAGCCTCTCTTTGCTGAACGCGACACGTGTTTCGCGCTAAGAGACACACGTGCACTCACCGTCATTTTTTTCCTTCACTCTCGTTGCTTTTCCACTTCTTGGTTAGGGACATCGGAAGGACGACCTTGAGTAATGAACACTGGCGGAACGTGTTCCACGCAACTCGTAGTGGGCTACTAGTGGCATAGTGTATCCAAGTACTTTACTTCAAGGTGATTTCCGACATTTTTTTTTTCCAGTGACAACGGACTGTGTTTAACGCGTTGCACTTTTGAACACGCGAGTTTCTTCTTAAGGGTCTTCAGAAGAAATTCTGTTATCCTAAAGTAACGTTTGTTATCTGTCATCTTACTGTTATTGTTTCTGTATTAATGAATTGTCGAAATTAACGATTAGGTGGTAAATTTTGAATAACTGCATCATCATGTTTTGTAATGAAAAGTGGCTCGCGAAAGGGAAGGGTATTCGTGATTAACGTGTATTAGATTTGTAAGTGCATCCAAGGCCACGTCACGCTGCAGCAACCCCTCCCTTCCCTCCCCTCTCTTCTGTACATCGTCGTTTTGACTCGCCCCACGGACGGTTCTGGATGTAACCCGTTGATTCGGGCGCTGCAGAGGGAGTGGGTGCGTCACACCCACTGAGGGCAGGGGTAGGAGAAGTAGGTGGGGTGCACCGCATCGCCGATCTACCCCTGCCAACTTGCTATGTTTACAGATTCATATCCTGTTTTCTTGTCTCTTCTCTGAGAAGTTTTCCTTTAGCGTAAGCCGCGAAAAGAGTGCCATTCCATTAACCCAAGTCAGGTGTGTGTGTGTGTTTTTTTTTTTCAGTTTCTCATGCAATTTAACTAATCATTGAAATTAGTTATCCTATCATAGGAAACTAAAGTCAGAAAACGGCAATACAGTAGTCGCGTTTACAGTTGTCAGAGAAGAGTAGGATTTTGCAGAAAGGAGCTTGTCGATCGTGCAGGACTAAACGAGTATGCGACGAGGGGGGAAGAGTAAAGTGGTGGAGGAGAACGAAGGTTAGTCCATAGGGCCAGGCAGTTCCGCTGTATTGACGCGCGGCGCACAGACTTGCGCGAGATGACGCAACCTTCCTCTTCTCCCCTCTCCATCGTGCCACATTCTGCTCGTCTCCCCTCTCCCCGGCCTTTTGTCCCACTCCTCTCTCCTGCCTCACCCGGCAGCTCCCATAAGTTCAATGCCAAGGTCAAAACGGCCACGACTCGTAACCGTGTCGGTCGCGATATTCGTTCGCTGCTGAAAGAAGAAGTGGCGACCGTGTGTGTTCGCGCGTGTGTGTTTTTTCATCGGTTGCTCTGTGTGCCGTCGTTTCATCGCGTATTCGCCTTCAACTTTCCTCATTCGCGGTATCGTGCGCACGTTTTTTCCTTCGACGCGACGGTCAGTATTTTTCGTACTCCGCCGTCGCGCAACTAACCTACTTAATGTACAAAGATGCGAGCATCGGACATGTTAAGTTGCACGATGTCACGAAGTGTTTTGGATTATTTATCAATAGTCGAACGTTCAGAGTGCCACGAAAAAGGAACAGTGTCAAGATGACAGGTGTAACATCCGCCTAAAGGTGGATATAAGTTGTAAATCGTGATGCGTCGATCTGCCATGATAGGTACAGTGCAGAAGGGAAATGGTCACCATGACAGGTGCATGAATATATTCGAATGGAAAACGAGAGTAAGACGTTCTGCGCCGTGAATGCGAATGCGCATCGTGCAAAAAAATGGATATATAAACTATAGTTGTGCTCTTACTGCTTTTTCCCCCGACTTGTGTGCTTGACGTCACTAAGCAAGATGGCGGTTTTTGGCGGATCTCGGGGCACATTAAAGCTCCGTACGGCGGGGGTGCTTCTACGTTGCTGAATGTGTTAAACGATATAGTTTCCTTTCAAATATATATCCTTGTGTTTTACATCTACCGCCTAAATTCAGTGCATTAGAAGCTCTGTACATTCGAACGGGAACAAGTTTAACCGTACTCAGGTTAGTCGCTGTCAGTGTCAAGGTTATTGCGGTAAATCACGCGACATACATATTCTTTGCCCGTCTAGCATTGGTTAATATGGCCGGGAATGGAATACGGTCCGTGGCATCGCTCAACTAGATAATCTATAATCATTATATCATTATTGTGATGTAAGCCTAACCCACGTATACCTTCATGACACGATCAATTGATCATTCAGATTTTTCTGACTTGCTTTCTAGTCGATGCTTATGCATTGTCCTCTCGACATTGCCACGGCCGGTAATATTGATTACCGTGTGCTATATCTATCATCGATATAACGCGGACTTTTAACCTTGACCCCTGTTCTCCTAGAAAATTTTACACGCTCCAGATTGGGCGTGTTTTATTAATACCAAAAAAAGAAAAAAAACACAAAATGTGTGTTACATACTCTTTTAGACGCGTCTTACAATTAATAATTTCAAGCGTGATATAATTCTTGTGTTTGTTCTAATAGACTTGCTTTTGTCAACGTTTGATTAATCTTACTTCCGCTCGTTCGAAATGATTTGATTTTTTATCACGACAGTTTCTCTTCTGTTACTTACGTCGATTTATTACATAATCAACAATGCAGCGCAGATAACCGACGCGTGTAATATATTACGGTTTTTGTGTATCGTTTCGAAGTAACGTGTCGTGTCACGTTCGCGTAACATATGTACAACACGTAAGCCGACGATTAGGGAAGGGGTAAACGCCAAATGTTCCTCGTGTTTTCGTCGCGTGTGCGTACATATATGGTTCGTTTTGTGAAAATAGCGAGAAGACGAGTCTTATTGGTTTATGTTCACGCAATCAACCGTGTGAATCTCGTTAAACGTGCCGGAGCGAACGTCTGCAACGCCCCCAATGTATTTTCGATGCAATTACCTTGGGGCCTATTATTAGACATCGGTTTCCGTGTTTCCGACATTACGGCTTTTTATCGTATAACGATATTTATAGTAGCAGTTTTTCTTACCATTCTAATAATTATCTTTATTTTGTTGCAGGTGATAAATTTCGATTGGTACTTGCAACGACCTTGAGGGAGGACGGGTATCCGGATGGAGGGGAATGGAACGCGACGGAACAGGAAGGAGGCTCCAGAGCAGACAGTTTCGAATACGTGATGTCCGGTAAAGTTTACCGAATCGAAGGTGACGAGGCCAGTAACGAGCCCAGCAGTAGACTGTAAGTAAACGTATAACATTTCATTTCACTTATTAATTATGGTATTCATAACAGAATAAAGTATACATTTGCAATAATAAAAAATACCTACAGGGGCCCTAGACACGTGCATATTTTGCCTAGGGATAAACATGTCCCCAAGTCTTATAAATTCTTCCACCTTTACCAATCACGAGTTAATGAAAAATAGGAATTAAAGTGAAAATTACATGAATTAGCTTATCAGCATCGCTATTTTATTCTGTTACGAACCACCGTAATCACGCGGCGTATCTCCGTGCGTATGTACACGCACGAACACGTCACAGCGTGACGTCATTTGCACGCGTCGCCGTGCGTAAACGCGCCCTCTTTCTGCTGTGATCTCTGATTGGCTCGCTTCTACTGCTCAATGAGGTTTCGTGGGAATTATTCAAACCTCTAAGAGCCGGGGAACCTTTATTGGTCGTAAAACAATATTTAATATTCGTACCGTTATAAAAACCAAAACGTGTCGTTTTGCGCGTAAAACTACTAAAATATAGTTATTCATTAAATGCTACAATCATTTCATGTAGTATATTAAAATAAGTTTCTAGGAATTTTGTAAACTGGTATTACCATAACCTAAAATTTCAACGACGCTTATGTAGGTTGCATTTTTTAAATAGAACAATCGTGACGAATCGTTAGGGAAAAGCAGAATTGTGTAAAAAGGGGGTTTCATGATAACCTTGACTCGGCCTTGTTGTTTATCGTTTAACCTTGAAACTCGTTTCTACCATGTTGTGTAGTTTACGTATACGGTAAAGGCCGCTTTTGATGTTTGATCAGTGTAGGTTGTGTCATAAACTGTAAAGCAACGAGCCTCTGGTATTGAATGTAGAATGTCCTCTGTGTTTGTGTGCCAAAGATAGAAGAATGCAGCGTGGCCGACGCTCGATAAGATAAAAACCGAGTAGACTGGCATAACGTAAAAGGGAGTTTAAATCGTGCGTGCTGATTACGTAATTGTTTTCTTTTATCGACGACTCGTATTCCTGGACACGATTCACGTATTTTTCCATCGGTATCTTTTATATTATAAAAGTTCTGTAGAACAAAATTTACTTAGGTTAGGAAGATCAAATTGATTAAATTTAGTTCACAGTCACAGGAGGTTATTAATTTTAGAGGAGTTTAAGTTTCGACAGCAACTTCCCACCATGTTGGACAAAGTACTTAACGTCACGTGACACCTCTTCCCGTTGACGCGAAATTAATCAGATGAATAGGTGTTAGTCGTTGTAACGTGGAAAATGATTACAAAATCGATTAGTTTGCGACCCTTCGCAATTTATTACCGAAAGTTAGCTTTGTATTGTGGTTGGAGGTGTTCATCGTCTAAAAAAGCAATTTACTTCCACGTCTTAATGCTTTCGTATCGATTTATTGATTTCTACTGCAGTGGTTTCCACGTTTATTTCATTTGACAGTTTGGGTGGTAATTTTCTTCTAACATTTTATCTGCATAAAAATACAGAAGGATTAACTGAATTTTGGTATATAATCGTTCAACTGATAAAGAAGAGAATTACGAGAATATTAACACGGCCAATGAAGTCTGGATTTTCATTGAAATGGTTCCGTATGTTTTTTAAAGATACCGACCACCGAGGAATCGGAAAAAAATATAGAATTTATCATTCAACTCGTTCGGTCGGTAAAAGCAGAACGGAAACAGCGAAATAAGCTCTCGGAGAACAGGGAGCCACTCTGCGTTCACTCGGTGGGTAATGAAGCGGGTGAACACAGCTGGTGGTATCTCAGTTTTCTGAGGGCGTTAGCAACCCACGTTGAGTTACCTGCTGGTCTCTATGGTGATCTTATGGAATAACAAACACTTTGAAGTATCATTGTGGAGGAACATTATAAAAAAAAACGCTGAACGAGAAAAATGCGTTAAACATAACCTTAATACATTTACACGCATGAAATCACATAATTCCTTATTTAATAATTCTTTGGCTTGAAGACAAATAGTCACAGTGTTCAAATAAAAAATTATGATGGTCTCGAGCACAAAAGAAATGCGGATTTATATGTACTCTAGTACAAGTAGCGAGAGAAGGAAAAATCATCTAAGTTTCTACGGTACAAAAGATGATAATCTAATTTAATGGCGACCAGCGTGTGTACGCGTCTCTTGATAAGTCCACTAAACAAGAGACGGTGACAGCTGAGAAGTAAATTTATTGATCGGGGTCGCAACAGATTTCAGAATGGATATAACTAATCTGACGAAACGAATAACGCGCAGGTACGCACCATGCCGTTACTGTAGCAGTGACACATTCTTAAATGAAATGAGATTGTCATCGTTGGTCTTCTTCATTTACTATTAGTACAATTTAGAAGTAGTGGCTATATTTGAAAAGTTGATTCCATAACCATAATGAAAGTGACCTACAAGACTTTAATAAAATGTTTTTCCGTCTATCGTTCACGTGTACGAGAAAAAGAGTATGCGCAGTGGGGGTGCGCAGTTCACCTGCGCGAAGAACGTAAAGTTCGCGCATTTGAATCCAGTGTGGCGCGCGACGTGTTAAGATGCGCACAAGGTCGGCCGGGCTGTCAAAATCAGCTGACGCTCTGTCGACTAATCAGCTGATCCTCGAGCCTCCCAGCAGGAGACTTTCCCTCGAGTGGCTCTCGAGTCATAGAGGGCGCTCACTGTCAACTATTCCACAAGCTAATCTTCTTCTTCGATTAAAACGATCAATTGTGCTCTCGTATGGAAAATCGAAGAAATTAAATGACCCAAGTCTGTACGAATACTTACTAAATAGACTTCAATATAAAAATATTTATTAAAATATGACGTAATGAAATATTCAATGAATGTTTTTATAAGAACGCTAATTGATTATTGAACGCATTAAAGATCTTCCGGTGCATTCATTAGATCATCGTGATACGTCGCGTGACATCACCCCAGTCATTACTGCAATTAATCAAAAAATGTTTGTTATTGATCCACGATGGAAAACGTGGAAATGAAAAATCTCCGTTCACTTGGAACGAGTACATAGGCGTTGACAAACAAAATCAACGACGCAGCGGATGTAGGCGAACCAACATTTCTGTATTCAAGGTTTCAACATTACAGTTGACACGTACGTGTCATTGCAACTAATATCCAAATGTACCCGTCGATATATTCGCTTAGAATTCAAAAAAAAGCTTATGGGTAATGTTTTTCTTTGTCGATCTCGTCGATCTCGTCGATTCTGTCGTTGGGACGGTAAAAGCCCAGGGCCGTCCAAGTTGCCGCTCTTCTCCCGGTACGTAGTAAATATATCCGCGCGACTCGACGGAAAATTTAACTTGGACGTCATTCGACGTTACTTTACCAGAAAACTCGCGCGAGAAGAGGGAGAGACGGGTGTAAAAATGTCGCGTTGTAGCGACGAGACACGGGGGAGCGGGAGGTGGAATTACGTAAGGATGTGCTGCAATGACTGCAAGAAATGCAGTATGCGCTTTTGGCAGGTTGGAACCATCTCGTTCTGTTCCTCTAATGGGCACATCTGATACGTGCACTGTGGAACAAATGGCTCCTTTGATATAAATATATTTTATCATTAGAGAATCCTAAAAATATATCTTTTATTTTTCATAATTATTTTTGAAACTTGTATTAAAAAGATTTTCAGTATTATTCGATACAGTTAGCATATCACTTTTATTTATTATATGCCTCGAGTATTTGTACGTTACTGGCTAACTGGTAGCCTTGTACTCTAGGTGCAACGCTATCCACATTGCACGTAGACAGTTCGGAAGAGCGGAAGAAGGAAGGGAATGCGTCGTGTCACGTAATTCAAGCATTATACAATCCAGTCTCGGACGTTTAATAACAGCTGATCATTTTTAGCATCCACCATTTTTCTCTTAACGTATTTTATACATTTCGTCCAAACATGAAACTTCTATTCAATTCTACTGTTTATGATTTTAAACAAATTCTTTCATAATTCTTGGCGATATTTTCCAGTTCTCTTATTGTTCCATTTTGGAAGCTGTCCACGGTGTGTCGAGTTATTACCGGCACAGATATACACGAGTTGATTTCAAGTTAGTGATTGACGTCACGTAGAGACCGTAGAAGGGGTCGCACAAGATTCGAGAGAGTTATTCGATTATGTTACATTATGCCATATCCCGAGAGCGTTACAATTCCAAGCTTAATGTGTGTACTCGGTATTAGACATACCTGCAATTCCATGTTCAGTTCGGATGCGCTGTAATTCCGACATGGAAACACAGAGTACACTCACGATCAAATCGTGCTTCTCTAGGGAAAATTATATAGAGAAAGTAGGAGTTCTCAAAATTAATATTAAAAGTAATTTAGAATAAATATGATGTAATTTTTATTTATTAAATATTACAAACTTTAGTACATAACTGAGAAGTACGAATAATGAATTAATATCAATTCGTACGCGAGTGGCGGTTTGCCAAAGGAAAGTTATAAGTAATTAAAATTTCCGAAAATCGCGACTTTTTATCTAAGAACGTGACTAGTTCCGTTACTAGTGAATTACCATCCACTATTTTTTTTCCACCATTTCAACAAATTGTAATTTTTTAAAACGATGAAAATACATATTATAGTGAATTAATTTTTATAGCTTCTCAGAATACCTCAAGTTATTTAGTTCAATTTTAACCGAAGTATTCTATTTTGAACAGTGTCTACTTACTTTTGCCTCTCACTGTACACATATGAGGCCCCTTTCGATGCATCGTCAGTCTCCTTCGAGCTCCTGATGGGGAAAGGTGAAAACCCTGGACATCACCGCTTTTCCTGGGGAGCCTACTTTGATCTAGAGTGTATCATGTATCTAATACCTCTCTACAAACGCGCATGTGGAGCCGTATCGGTCCAGTTTGAGGCGGAATTATTTCGATAATCCCACCGCGTATTTTTCGTTCAACCAATCTAGGTCAACTCTCTTCAATGATATTCAATCACACACACCTCTTCTCTCGCATCAATTTTTCTATGCGTGTACGCGAACAAAAATGATTCATATGTTTTTACAGATGTATTTAGTAGTAATTTTTGAAGGCTATCTTGGGTGGAATATATCAGGTCGTATAAAATGGAAGCATATATAAACAGGTGTTTGCTGTACAACATGTATCAGTTTCCGTTTTGAAACGGATGTTCGTCAGGCTCTTCTGGCCAGTTGTTCCCGGACACCACGAGCCCCAGGCTCACCGGTTCCCAGGGGTGACCCAGTTTCATTTATCCCCTCACGGTCGGTTCCGCACCTGCCTGGCGAACCTCCACCACCTCCTACGTCGTTTCTACGCTTACGCCAGAGAATCCGCTAGGCTTTCCGGATAGAGATTAATATCTTGCTCTCTGTTCCCCCTCTTTCATCCTCGGCATTCTTTGAAATTGAAAATTTCGAGCGGAAAGATGTTAAAATTGTGCTTGAGTCATGTTCCATTAATCCTAGTTTCGTTTTTCTCTTTGTTACCCGTCTCGATTTGCTCTCTCTTTGATACGCGAAGGCCATACACGTGCTGCACGATCCTCTTTGTCCCACCACCGATCATCATCCTCCGAGTGGTGCACAAGCGCACCCTCGCCAGGAACTCTCTCCTGGGAAAAGGTCAGACAGTCAGAGGCCAACCTATGAAGTGAAATTAGGTCAACCCCTGACGGCCGCTCGTGCCTGAATCCCTCCCCGCTTCTCTCGGTCACCGAGGGAAGAGAGTAGTTCACGTTGTTGCGCTTGTTGTACGCGCCTCCTGTTGCCCGCAGGCCTTTTCGAAAGTGGTGTGTCTTGATAAAAGGGATGGGGACCAAGGGTAGCTTCAGTGGTGATTAAAAGAAATAAGTTCCGGGTTAATATCAAGAATGGAAAGGCAAGTTGGAAATGATCGCGAGAATACTTGTTATTATAGATAGTAAAAATAATGAATGGCATTTATTATTTGACAAAATTGTTCACGTTGGAAGGACTTAGTTATATTGTACATCAACGTTGTCCACAAGTTAAAAGCAATTTGTCGATATTCCATCATTTATTCAAGCAAATGGAAGCACAGCCTGAGGTGTCCTTGGCCCTATTACCGTGCAAACCATGGTACCCTTAATGTGTCCCAAGGTTGACCCCCGTTAGTATAACGACGTGTTAGTGTCTCCTCCCCCAGAAGCGAAGCTGATTACGGAGCGGAATAAGGGTGTCTTCCCTTCGATGTTCCTCCTTGACTTTACCTTTTCAACCTTGCTCTCTACCAACTGATAAATTTAACGAAGCTTCCAATGACTCTTTCAACAAAATCTCTTTGCCATTTCTAACATACAGTCATTCGTAAAAGTGTCTTTTCATGCGGACTCTTCCTAACAAGTCCCAACTCGTTAATTCAGTCACTTTTATCCACGAATAGCAAAATTTACATTTCGGCGACCAATTTGTGTATCCGTAAATAAACACAATAGGAAGTTCGTCCTCCGGTTCGCTTCGCTGGAAAACAGGAGGAAAATTTCCAGGTATGCGATGGGTGGGTTTAAAGTCGAGCCTCGAACGCGGAAACATTCGAGAATTCCCAGAGTTGATCCCGGTTGCTATTGACCGAAACGCGTGCTATTCCACCCCCGTCTCTCTCCCTCCTTCCTATTTCCGGATGGGATTACCGAGAGGAAGAGTGGGAATCACTGACGTCATTCTACGCGTTACCACCATAGAAAAGAGGTGATAGTGGTTTGAGAAGATCCACGTGGAGGTATACACAGGGGTTAAGGGAGAGGACGAGGCGAAGGAAATCGCGTGCGAATGAAATTATCTGTCGGGGGAAAAAGAAGAGCAGAATTTCCATGAAAAAGCAGCGGAAAAATCCTACCCGCCTTTCTGATTGCTATTCAAATTGTCGGATCGACCCAGCGGAAAAGGCGTTTGGATTATTCTGCGGAAAAATGGGACGAAATGAGACTTTCGAAGGAACATAACCTCCATCTTGTGCGGTGTTACATTAGATTGCATAAATTACACCAATAATGAGAATAGTGTTAACGAGTACTGGTGATCTATTTTTTTTCTCTATAATTTCCAAGGACTCGTAAACGACAATGAGATTGTACCCCGTGAAATTAAGGTCAAGTTAAGCAAAAGCGTTATAGAGGATCTCTCTCTCTCTCTCTCTCTCTCTCTCGAGCCTTTTCCACTTCCTGGATGGGGGTTGAAACAGGCCTGTTAGGCGGCTGCCAATCGCAGCCCTGCTGCTCGATCCAATTACTCGACCTGTCTGTCGTGCTCGAAAACGTCGAGTTACTCCGGCGCGTGTTGCTGTGCTCGTACACCATCGCGTGGAACATTACAGATAACATGAAACTAGATTAAAGCATAAAAAAGTAATAGATGTGTAGGAGGTTGTAAGTAGTTTCCGAGTTAAGACGATTCGAGGATAGATACTTTTGTCCGCTTCTTTGAAACGAAACGTGATTCATAAATGGGAAATATAGTCATACACAATGTGTGATAGTGTAACGTATGAGCAAGTGATTACTCATGAGAGCTTATGATTTAAAATGTTACATAACTCAGTAGAAATAAAATGAGAGGTAGTAAGTTCACAATTGATTAGGACAATTTAGGTTGCATTTCTGACAATGTTAATATATTTTCAGACAAACGTGTTAAATTATTACAATTGTTTTAAACATCGCACACATCAATGTTCAGAATATACATATGGGTCATTTAAATTGTTCGGGAAATTTCAAGTCCTATAAAATTGCCGCTTCTGATTGGACATCATCGACGGCGTAATCCGATTGGTTCCAACTTTACCCCCACCACCAGCTGTGCCTGCTTCTCCAAATGAACCAACTGCGTTGTAATCGTTATTCATTCGCGTTCCTTTCTTTATTCCGTTTTCCCCACTCCCTTTTTCTCTCTGTTTTCTCGTCGATTCTGTCACACTTGGACGCGTTTATCGCACGTGCTGAAACCGTGACATTGAGTCGTGAAGAGCTCGTAACAGTTCCGGACTTTCATAGCTAGAATAATCGGCTGTATGTATAGTACGAACAGTAGTCGCTCGTGTGTTCCCGGGGCCACGTGTTGCTTCGGCTTCCCTCGTGCTCATTCGTGCATCTCCGCCGCCTCGCTCGGTTTCAAAGTAGAAAAGTTCGATTCGTAGTCAGACAGGGCGACGCGGCTTTCGTAGTATGCGGTCTCGATGTTTCACGGGGGGGTTTTTTTTTTCTCTCCAACCCCTGGGAATAATTTCGTTGTTGTTTACGAAGTTCTGCCCGGGATGTCTTCTGCGATTAATTGACAATCAAACTGTCCTTTGAGGTTACGGTATAGACCGTACTATAGAGTAATCGACTCTTCCATTACAATTTAATTAAAACGCTTGCTCGTTCGGACGAAACGAACTGCGCAGTCACGCGGTTTTAACTAATCCTTCTGTTTTATCGTTAGCTTATTTCCGACAAGTTATCGTTGTTAATTTTGAACTCGAACGATTCCTATTAATGATCCCAACCAAATCCACTCGTCCCCGTGAATTCTTTTTATATTGAACCAAGCCAACTGCGCACGACCAGCTTGTCGCCGAGCCAAAAGCAGAGTTTGCTTCACTCTCGCGCAAACAATACCTGGCTTTATGATAGATCCAAAGTTACCGGAATTGTGACGAATGAAAAATCACTGGTTTTCTTTGCTACCACTGTGGCTTATGTAATTTGACAATGCGAGACATCTCCGAGTATCATCCTGCTGAATTGTATTAACCTGGTTAGCATTCGATCTCTCTCACGAGCCAATTGCTTTGTGTTGGTCCTTCCTAATCGAGCTATTAATATCGTCCGTACATCGGGCCGATTAATATCGAGCACGATAGCTTCGACGGTACACTCCGTTCCCCGAAGGTAATCGATTGTCCTCCCCGTATATAGATTGCTCTTGGTGATTGGCAGTGTCTAATTTTGGATTTGTAGCACACAAGAGCTTTTCCTCGGCTTTGTATCGTAACACCCGACGGGGTAACCCCGTATACAACCCCCGCATACGGTTCAATCACGAATGATCCCGGTTTCGTGCAACTCCGGTGCACTTTATATCGATCGAATCTGTTTGGGTTCAACGACCACTGAAAAAATTCGCGCTGTTCGGCTAGAGTGTATAGGACTCGTGTGGCTTTTACGGTCCACAAGTCGAGGGGTTAATTAGCGTACTAATGACCATTCCGACTGTGACACTCAGGCGCGTTTAATCCTGAGGTGACTCAATAAGGGTCAATTTTAAAATCTCGCCTTTCAATTACCATCCGAGCAAAAGCAAATGCGTCCCTCCGCTCTGACGATGCGAAAACTCATAATCATCCGCGGGACTTACATAATCTCCCGGCTGTGTGCCACGACCGCTTGAATTTAGTCGGCCATATTGGTGTGTCTGTCTCTCGGCCACTTGTATCGAGTGGAAGGGTCCGTCCCCGGTTCTCTGTCGACGGTAATCGACTCTCGACGGTACACGTCGGGTGTTGGATGAGTGGGTGGTGTTACAGGGACGTGGATGTTGCCGCAGAACTAGGGAGGGGAACGGTGCGAGAAAGAGGAGGCAGAAGGTGCCTCTTAGTCCCCTCCAGTCGATGAGCGGCAAGTTGGAACGTAAAAAGAGGAGGAGAGGGTTAGGCGCAGTCGAGGAGGAACCAAGGGGGGAGAGGGTTAGTAGGCTGGGAGGGGTAGAGAGGTGGCACCACAGGGACAAACGGGCCGCGACCGAGAAAACGACGCAGGACCGCGCAGGTGCACTTTCCTCGCGCGGATACGTTGTGTTGTTTTACGAGACAACGAAGACTCCACCGTCGCGAAATACTTGAACGAGCGTTTACATAGAGGATAGAACCCCGCTATGGATCCTTTTCTGTGTCGTGTTTACGTTTTACCTCTCCTACCACTCTACTTCCTTGTTCGCGCTCTCTCTCTCTCTCGGTTTCACTCCGTCTGTACCTAATTATTCTACCTCTTTCTCTCGCGTTCGATCGTGTTCTCTTCCGATTTCTGTGTTCTCCCTGAATACTCCGGTCGCGTCGCGTGGTGTTGCGAGAACCGAGATCGTGTCGCGATAGCATATCAGTTTTCGCGTCGTTGCGCGTCCACCTCTTTAGTCCGTTAACCGTCGCAGCCGCGGTGTGTTGTGCGGTAACCACGCCGTGTGCGTGTACCGATCCGCGACGTGTTCCACGATGACGAAAGTGAATCCCACACAGGGTAGTGTGACGGTGAGAAGTCTGTTCGTTTGTTGGCAGTGGAGGAGGTGTTCTAAGATTAAGTCGCCGTCGGACCAGGTTCCGTTCACCTGGCAAGGGAGGCTGCTGTTTGCTCTTTATCATGTCTCCCTCTCTTTCCCTCCACTCTTTTTCTTCATTATCCCCATCCCTGCCTTACTGCTATTGTCTTTGGCAAGATTCTTACTGTTCTTGGATCCTTCTTGCTCGCTCCTCCTTCTTTTATTGTTTCAATTATGTTTTTTCTTTTTTAATTATTTTTATGGATGGACTCATGTTTTTGAATTTGAAAGCTGCTACTGATTTTACGATTCTATGCGGATAATGACAGGCAGCAGCCTCGCTTGATATGTTTGTTCATTTTGTGGTATTCGAACATGGAATCGATTACGCAGGTGAATATCGACGAGCAACAGAGTCCAGCTTGATGTCACGACCAACACGTATGATATATATGTGCTAATTTATAAATACTGGTCTAGGCTTACATGGTTTATCGTAATTTATACAATTCCGTGGGACTACGGTAAATTTCCATTAATCCTTTGTTGTTATACAGTAAACATGTTCAATTTATTTGGTAAATTCGAGTACATAGCGTTACGTGCGGTCTCAAAATCCCCGAAATCGTAAAAATTGCAAATACATATTTGTCTCGCCATATCCTTGCATCATTTAGGGAGGAGAATATCATTCATAGTGCTTTCGATCAAAAGGGCGTTTCAGTGGTATAGACAAAAAATAATTCTGACTCATACCGTTACCTGCATATGAATCACCATGCTATTCCAAGCTTTTTCTCTTTCACGAATAAAGAATAAAACCGAACTTTGATATGTTACAATCTTATCAGAAGGCAAATTTTCATGATTTATGGAACAGTGTAAAAGCGAATGGGTTGTGTATGCAAGTCTCGCATGCTACAATAATTGTCTAACGTGCATTAGAAAATCTTATATAAAATAACTTTGATATTTGAATATTTTTTATTGGGAACATATGTATGAGTATCATTATTGATAGAGTCCTTGCCTAAAATCAGGCTTTTCTAGGAAAAATTATGTCTATGGAAAAATTATATTTAGCTCTTCCCCATTGGCATACGCGAGGAGAATGACAGCGTAGAGAAAGGGTTCTCATGTATGTATACATATATGTACACACATAGGGAACAGGAGCCGATCCAATCACGTGTGCGTAAACCTTTACGTGGGGCATTTGAATTGGTCTTTATTTGTTATTCATATTTCTCAGTTATATACTAAATTTTGTTTTTATTTTATTTCTAAATTATTTAATTTAATATTAATATCGTCAAAATTAAGATTTTGAGAATTCTCTATTTTCCTTAGAGAAGCCTAATTTGATCGCGAATGTACACGCGATTGACGTGGACATTAAAAGTAAAAGTACGCGTGTGCAACTAGCAGGTGGCGCATGTGGTGACTCTTTCTCTCTCTCTCTCTCGACTCTCCCTCCTTTCTTGAGATCGATGGAAATTTATTGACGGTAAAGCGTCATGCGCATATTCAATAATTGGCACTAATTATATTTCGTGCGAAGGTGGCACGCGGAAACTACTGAAAGTAGTTTGTTTAATGCATTCGATAGCCATCCACCACCTTGAGAATCGATCGTTCCCGGTGTGACCTATATCCGGATCGTCACCTCCACCGGATATCCGTCGGAAAACACCTTGTTAAAGAATGAGTCTAAACCTTTTCTTCGTACAAGACATTTATGACTGTGAGTAGTGATTGAAATGAAATTTTTCAATATTGTTTATAATCAGGCCGGTTCTATAACACAAAATTCCAAGAAACCAATTAGTTTGAATTTTATTTGCATAAATATAAATAATTTAAAATATATAGAAATGGTACAGGGTTAGTGCGGCCTTCGTAAGAAGGATTAAAAACTAAAACATACAAATTCGAATTTGAATTATTAAAAATAATCATTAATTATTGATTAATGATTCACCTATATAACACGCGTGTCCTAGACGAACCGAGCCGAGAAACGAGTCCAAATAACCATGAGCTTTTTCGCAACCCTAAAACACGCGCGTTACACACACCGAAGACCTCTCTATCACATACACACGCGCCCGCGCGGTATGAACGTGTGGATAAGAGTCTGACGGGTTGCGTATGTACCACTTCTCTGTCTTGTTTCGAGGTTAGGTGGACACATTTACGCCCCGTGGCCCAGCGCCACGCAGCTTGGCACAGCTTTTTTGGCCATCGTTGTGTAACACGTCGCCCGTTTGCCTCGCACGTTAAAGCGGTTCTACAAGCGCAATGTCGTACCGTCTCTGCCTAGTCGCGGCTAGTTCTCCTCGCGAAGTCTCAGACTACGGACTTTTAGTATTTTTCCGCGTACGCGATCGGACGGTCGTTTTCACTTGGCGAATAAGTACAGTGTCGGTCGGTAACGCGAACAGAAAGCCTCTCCATCGAACGAAAACAACTTGTTCGAGAGAGTACCCCTTGCCGATGGGGGAGACGTCTCGAGACCTGAAAATCCACTTAGGCACTCGTTTGGTTGGTGTATAGTTCATGGCTCTTGGCATGTATACCATGGGCCGAGTATACATAGTCTCGTTGGTTCGAATAGAGTGGCTGGTAGCACATAGTGAACCTTCGATTTTGGAATCGAATAAAATTCCATTCTTCCGAAGGGATCATTAGTTTCCTTATGCTCAGTGATACCATCATCGTTACATGTTTGGGATTCATGATTTCTCGACGCTTCCGTTATTAAAACAACGTCAGACCACAGAAGATCCATTCTATCGCCTCTGCGCATTATACCATTAGAGTGGAAGGCAGAATCGATCGTTAAGCTCGTTTAGCGGCAAAGTGATCCAATTACAACCGTCGCTGTTCTCCGTGACTTTACCTCGTCTGAAAATTACGTGGATCGTCCCGTTATCGAGGCACGCGTCATTCTCTCTTAGCGTTCAGTAGGTACATATTTTTGGGGATTCTAGGGAAAAGATTAAATAAGCGGATGGCTCATTTTAGTAGTCTTTTAGTGGAGTTTTGGAGTAAGGATTAGAAGTTTTGTCGAGGTACATTGTAATATTAGACACTTCCCACGTCGAAGATTCTTGGTAACTTGAAAAATTTACTAATTACGAAGTCGTTGATCTTTGTTCTTTGCACGAGTCATCCCAATGGACGGTAGCACGCACGATAGAGCAACGGCAATTGCATCTTGCACGTTCTCTTCCATTTGCTTTCTATCTTCGTACGTCGTCGACACGCATTATGGGAGACCGATTTGGCACATGCATCGGGCTCACTAGTTTCTGGAACAGCCTTCCCGAAATTGTCTTTCGCGAGAAGGCCTCTTGATAAGTCCCTGAAGCCTTGTTTTTTTTTTATGTGTAGCTGGAACACCCCTTTCCAATCTGCTTTTAACAAACAACAACAAGAACAATGCTATTAATAGCTTGTTTCAGTTGCTTGCCCACCAAGCCCATCTTCAACGTCACTATAAATAGTAATTCAGTCAGTTAGGTTTAATTTTCCGCTTGGACCTCTTTGCTCTTGAGTTTCCATCGCGTTTAGTGCCCTCTAGGTTGAATACGTTAGTCCTTTTCCAGGGAAAAAGATGATCTAGGGGAAGGGGACTTCATTTGCTTCAATTGTACTCAATGATATAAATTATTAATATTGGAATTAATATCTAATAAGTGGAATTGTAAAGATAAGGTTATGTCAGTGGGTTTCGTTAACGTAACGGGTAGCGTCACTAACTACCACTCGGAAGATCAGGGTTCGAATCCCGGCGAGGATGGGTTCCAAACGTTTTTTCATGAATTTCTGTAATATATTAATTGAATATGTGAATTTGTATTATATTTTATATCGCTAAGATCATCTATAAATATGTTTAGAGTGTTGAGTGCTGGGGCTCCCTGTAAAAGGGTTAAAGTTGTTATATCCCTTTCCACTATCTAAGTTTTCCTCAGCTATGCATAGTATTTCAAAGCTTTAAAAACATTATCCCGCGGCCAAATCGGCTGAGAAAAACGGTTAGAAGGAACCGATATATGTATACACGCACGAGATTGTGTAACAAAGTAGTCGAGATAGAGGCAATGAGTGTGCAGCGCCGTTTCTACTCGCTACTGCTGCTGCTGCTCCTACGGTCACACGTCGTAGTAGTTCACTACAGTAGTGTGACTGACTACTTTAGTCGTCAACTAGTCGTCGCGCGTGTCGCTTGCATTCCCTGTTTGTTGCCGTATAATTTCGTTACAAGAACCGTGTGTGCGAGTGCACTTCACAGCGGTGGTTCGTTCACTCTGTTAACGCGTGTCCATCGATCGAAATCAACTTTCGTGTCTGTCCTCTGTTCTGATCGTTCTTCTCTGTCTCAGGTTATGTTACAACGACGGTTGACCGCTCGCACATGTGTTCACTCTGTGAAATAAATTGGATTGGTTCGATTTGAAGAGTTGTGAAAATAGTAGTACCGTTTTAAGGAAGCTGTACATGTTTAGTGACGAGTCAATTTACACAATTTGTGATGTATTCGTTGGAAATGCGATTCTCCGTGATTTATTCAAGGTCATAAGGTCAATCATAGAACATCTTTCAGATTGCACAATTTGTGGAAAAATGCTCGATACGTCTCGTGTTTCGATAGTGTGTGTCCAAACGTGAATTCTCGGTTCTCGTCAAGGTGTCGCTGTCATACACGCAACCAAAATGCAATAGGGAAATCATAAGATGCATCGATTCCAAAACAATTTCATCGAAATAAATTCTTGCACGCAGTTCAGTCTTCAAGGTTGTAATTGTATAACATTAAGATTTCGTTTCGCATTCCGCGGACGGATGGAGAGGTTGCAGTCATCGCCGATGGTAGGCGCTCGATGGATTAGACGTCGTCACATAAAAAAGCGATCCTCTTGTTTTTCGACTCGCTTTTAGCACACTTCGGTGCTGCTTTATGTTTAATTCGTTCACGGATCTGATTTCTCTCGATTACATAATCTCGACGTAGATCGTCAACTACAATTGACTCTCGACGATTTTATTAATCGAAACATAGTCTCGAAGGAAGAAGCAGTGAATATTTCGAGCTGCGCTCGGAACGGTTGCGTAACGCACGTGAATTGCAATTGTCCCCCGTCGACCAGGGTAGTTGGGCGCATGCGCGACGGTAGTAATATAGAATCGTTAAGTGTTTTTAAATCAGTTTTTCGATTCTAACTACATATATGTATTATCGTGTTTTTTCTTTTACTATTGCACCGTTATCGCGTGACTCCTTTCGGCAACTTCTATGTACAATTGACTGTGTACGCAAGTTATATCGCTGCATTGTAAACAATGTTTAAGCTCGGGATTTTAATTCGCGGTAATAACCTTTTGTGACGTAAACACGTTTAAAATAAAATTTGCATCGGGAACATAAAAAAGTTTTAAACTTATAATTAAGAAATACAAAAATACACTTATAATGATTTTACGTTTTCATATGACGTCACGTGACGTAATATTACGTATAAAATAAAAATTTTTCTATTTATATTAGTGGTTGTTAATCTCAAGAAATTCGATAGTCGAATGTAATTTCTGTGTTAGACGAAAAGAAAACCGGCTTTTAATTACACGCTTTGAGATGCTATATTAACTGTAACTAATGTGAGTGCGTCCCGACGCCAGAGCGTCGCGGCACCGAGGACGGTCACCTATTATTAGAGACGTCTCTCCTCGTTTCACTCTTTAACGAAGGAAAAGTGGTATCAGCTGACAATCTTACTTAAATAAATCTATATTTATTTTACATTCGACTGTCGATAAAAAACGCGTAAATCAAGATACTTAATATATAAAATTTATATTTTAATAATTATACGCGTTAAAACTTCCGATAAAGAGATTTCTAAATTAAATACTTTAAATAATAGACGAACGGTTTTCAAAAGGAAATTCTATTAACCCTTGAACAGCGGATAAATTTTTAAAGAAATAGTGTAAAATTTAAAAAACAAGAATGACATGAGATACAAAATTAAATTATAATTGGGGCTCTCTTCATGATCCGTCGTCCGAGGGTTAAAATAGAATTAGTTTCAGTAATTAAGAGAATTCGTGCGGGATAAAACAGTTAACTTAAAAAAAAGAGAACAACGAAGAATGGCAACGTGAAACAGAAAGAGAGGGAGAGAAGGAGAGAGTGAACAAGAAAGAGCATGAACACGAGGGTTAAAGCGAGCCAATATGAGATTACGGGGCAGTTGGGGCTCGTGCCAGATGCGCGTTTACACGGGCCCTGAATACTGTAAATGCACTATCTGGTACGACATCTCTCCTGTCACCGCCACCAGAGTAACGGTCACCGAGCTGCTGGTTTTCAGCGGTGCAACGTTTTAAAAAGACTTTCCAATTGCATTACGCTTAGAAAATAGCCATTGTATTCCTTTTCACCGGCGAATGCTTTCCTCTGATAGACACAAATTTTCATTTTATTAACCTTTTGAGCTATACCTTGTGTTAATTTTTAGAACATATTACTTAGTAGCTCGACGGGTTAATTATTGCCTTAGAAGTTAGTTTTTTATTGCAAAAGTATTTGTAAAATGAACGCGGGACACAGTATGCATGGGAGGGGATAAACTGACAGAGTACCTATATCTAAAAGTGTATCGCGATGAACAACGAGGGTACAGATTGCGTGTGTTTGTAAGTTCGCGTCTCTATCCTCGTTTCTGTATCATCCCAGCAGAAAAATCCACACGTCGGCCACGACGCGCCACGGTGTCATTGAAAAACATGAAGTTACAATGTCACGTGTTACGTCACGTTCGCGCGAAGACACCCGGAATCAGTGAACAATTGGATACGTAAAAGGAAGCACGGATCGCGTTACTAGCAAAGTGTATCGTGTTCGGTTCCGGTATGATGTTACGTACGCGCCTATGTCTCGTAAGAAGTCAATCGATCATTCATTGCACGGTCATTGTTTGTTTGCTTGATGAATTTGTTAATTGTCAAGAGCGTATATATTCTGAAAAATGAACTCGATTCAACATACATTGTAACGAATCATTCAATAATTGCGATACTTATATTTCTTTCTTTCAGTCTTATCATTTAATGTTGATACACCCGCGATCAAATCAGGCTTCGCTAGAAAAACTGGCTATATAGAGGAAACAGAAGTTTTCTATATGCTAATTTTGATAATAATAATATTAAAAGTGATTTAGAAACAAAATAATATAATTTTTAGGTATTGAATATCATAAAATTAAGTATATAACTAAGAAATATGAATAACAAGATAGATATCAATTCAGTTCTTCTGCGCACACGTTTCTGCGCAAGTGCTAGTGCGCCACGGGCCTACATATATATGTATATGAGGCCTCCCTCGTGCTGTCACTTTCTCCGATTACGTCTAAGGGGTAGGGTTGAGAGTCTAGGGCTCCTCCATCATTCTTCCTGGGGAGTTTGATATGATCGCGAGTGTACTATAATTGATAACGTCTTATTAATCGATAGTAGTATGTATAATGAAACAATAAAAAGACTCTTAGAATAAATATATCGGTAATGAAAAAATATATACATATCAGCCTATCGGCACTTCGGTATATTATCGATGAACTATGTATTTGGATATTGTGTAGCGATAAATAAATATTTATAAAGAGATCGAAATAATTCAAGTAGTGATCTAGGATTAATATCCTCAATATTCAAAGACGCAATGCACCACCATGTCAAAATTGGTGCACGCATCAAAAACGTCCAAACGCGTGCACCAGGTTAAAATTGGAAAGTAGAATGAGGATTGCGAAATTATAATCTTAAATTAGATCATAGAACATCCGCTGAAGAAACAGGTTCCAAACACGTGCACACATTTTTCATTGAATACGAAAAAAAAAAAATTGTGTGAATACTGGTGGAACCAGTGGCGTTACATGACAAACACCCGCATACCAATTTTATTTGGTACCAGGTAAACCTGTATGGTTTTCTCCTTAAATACCATACAGAGAGTGCTTGTACACACGTGGTCCACAGTCTGTTGCAAACTACTAATTTTTATCTGGATCATAATTGATCCGTCATCCGAGGGTTACCACATTTTTACATACAAGTTAAAGAGAAATTCGACGATAATGTAATTTGACTATCGCCAATAATAGGCTATGTTTCATACATATTGTGAACCACGTGTAAATTTACAAATGGTAATGTGGAAACCTGTTCATACCGCTGCACATAAATCCTTGTTGCTGATCAAGAATTTCACCAAGTGGCAGCCTCTCCCGGAGTCATACGAAAATCAACGCAGCTTTCAACTTCTCTGATATATTGTATGATGGCGTCTGTGTGTAACGTATTCTTGGAATGCTACTACGTCTCGAAACAAGTCAAATGAAAGTATTCCTCGCGGTCGACTTGTTTTTCTTCCTTTTTTTATCGATCCTCGCGTACACAACAATATATTTATATCCCCTCAACATTCGTTCACTGTAGCCCTTTCTGTCTGACGCGTTTTAAGTTATGTAAGACTTCGTGTCCCATTTCGACAAGGGCGTTTACGATTCATCGCAAAGCTCCTCCTTAATGTAAAACCTAACTTTTGGTTAATTTTTTATTTTGCATAGTAGCCAACCTGTTCTATATGGAATGGGTGAGAGTGTACACTTGAGGGCAACGTAGGCCTCCTTTGAAGAAGCCCACCACCATTTGCCTTTCTAACCTAAAATTCTTACTTATCCTCGCGTACAGTGTAAAGAATGTGGATAATTAAAGACGAATGCTGGGAGCATTTTTTTCTTCAATTAAGAGAAATCTAATGACCGTATGTGAACCTTCTAGCGGCCGCCATAGGTGGAACCACATGCGTTCCTGCGGAGACTTAGAAAAAGATCTTTCCATATTAATTAAATAATAAAAAAATACCTTTTTTTGAAACCTTTAAATTGCTAGTAAATTAAGATGTGGGTTATGCCTGTTGTCGTCATTAGATTTACCGCAAGGTTCCAACGTTTTTATCTCACTGACCATTGTAATTATAATGACAATAAAAATCATGCTGTGCTGCATCCTTCTCATCATTTCATTCTCATACCGTCACCTTTAGTCGTTACTTCTTAGAAACGCTGATTTCAGTAGCAAGTCATTCTGAGGTCACAGGGAATAAAACTTTTCTTTACTCTTTGTTTTTTTTTTCCTCCATTCAAGATGAAAACGAAACCACCATTCGTGTAGTTCGTTCGCGACGCGCGCAGATATCTGAACGAAAGCATCATTATTATGTACATATTTTATGCAAGACACGTGGTTTTCTTTTAAGAATAGAATACACGCTTGTGCATTCAAAAACTGTTGGTTGCGTATGCCTCCAAAAATTTATATTTTGAAATTCGAATTTTCCGCCGCGAGCTTAGAAATTCTAACCTAAAAATATATATGAACTTAACGTCCACAGTGGTATTAATAGTAATAGGAATAAAAGATGATTGCAAAATCTTGTTACAAGTTGTGTACCACTGTCAATGTCATTTGAAAGTACAAGTTGCCCAATATTTGCAAAGTTTATAATAGAGATACATTTAATTCAATAAGAAACGAGGAGGAGGGGGAAAGCAAAGAGGGAGGATAGATGAGAGGAACAGAAACCCAGAATACTTCGGTTAAAAATAATCAGCTCTTACTGTGGATGGTCAGAAATTCGGGAGCAAGGTCAATCGATAGCGGCGCAACTTCCTAAACATGTGTATAAATATTCCACCGGTTGTTTAAATATTCTCTGCTCCAATCGTTTGCAGTATTCTCCCTCAAAATAATAGCATAAATAATTCCTTCTGTTCAATTAAAATTTGAAAATTATATTAACGTATATGTGTAACTGATACAGTGACCATTTTGTTATGTTAGGCAGTAAGGTGAGATCCATAAGACCTCACAGAAATTTACAAATATTTAATTTTTTAATATTTAGAACAAAGTTCTATAATTATGTCGATTAGAGTATAGTAATTTTGTAATTATTTGCGTATCGTTTTAGGGGTATTACGAAACTCGGAAAATGTACATGATACATAGCTTATAATACTAATCTCAGATGCCTAGAAGCTGCGTTTCTATTGTTGAGTCAACGCGGAATCACGCGGCCGGAAGAGGGGAAGGAAGAGCGCGGGAAGAAACCTTGGGAAAATAATTCTTGCGATTGGCATGTTGGCAGTGTTGTTAGCTGGTTGTGTGGCTATGTTGTGTATACGACCGCTATCGGCACTGCAATTATGACGATCGCAGATCTACGCCCATACTGCGGTTGAAGAAGATATACATCAGTAAACACCGTAAAAAAAAAAACCGATAAACTTCCATCTATAATGATAAATTTAATAATAAAAGTACTACTGAAGTGTCAAATCTACCGAATATTAATGTTCCCTAAAATTAAAATATCCTTGGGGGTAATGAGTAATCTTGAGTCTAGGGTTCCCTAGAACTAGCCCACCCTAAAATTCTCTAGGTCCCCAATTGTTCTGAAGTCTTAGAGTTCTCTAAGTTCGTTAGAACTTTTTCTGCAGAATGAAGTGTTTTTCCGGTGATCAGGGAGAACATAGTCACAGGAAAATTTGCGTAACCACTTGTGAAATATATAAAAATGTTTTTGTTGAAATAACATTTGCCATTTCTTTTCTGTTACAGATCCGCTTACGTATCCTTCGGAGGACTACTGATGCGGCTACAGGGTGACGCGAACAACCTACACGGTTTCGAGATTGATCAACATATGTACCTGCTTATGAAGAAATTAGCGTTTTAACTGCGTTACACGTTGCACACGGAGTGTCAATCGAAGCAAACTTACATTAGAAATGAATTTGTAATTTTAAGAGAGAGTTTATTATCACAAAGTTTGTACTAACAGTTTATTGGTACACGCCTACATTAAAAAGAAGTCTTACATTCAATGAAAAATTTCAAGCACTGTCACTGCCACTACAGTATTTGTGCCACTTACAAAATAAATAAAAATATTTTTCCATCTATGAAATACCTCCTTAATCCCTGATATCTCTAATGAGTTACTATTATCCATCAAAATTTGCAAGAAAGATCAATAGAGAACAGTATTTTGTAGTTGCCTACTGTCTGAATGATTCCACCTCCCCTTATCTCGATAGAAACGTAACATGCTTAAGGAAAATAGGAATAAAAAAAAAAATGAAGCGCCATTTTGGAGAACATAGAACCGAGATTAAACACGTGATCCAATTGAAAGGCACAGCATCAAGCGCAAAAATGAGACGAAACGAATGCATAATAGACATTCCTGCTAAAAGGGAAGAGGCAACTGCTAATTTATGTAATTAAACTTGTGGTATTCCTGACCTTGTATGGTTGAATACAAGCTAGCTAAAGCTGGCTTGAACAATGTGGTATAAGTGCACTTGGCGTGGGCTTGTCTAGAAGGCAGCCAACATGGCGGATCGATATTGCATAACACGTTGTGCAGTAGAGATGGCTGCCACTTAATAAGGGTCTGATCCTAAATAGATTGGCCCAATGACATATAATTCGCTTTTATCTGGCCGCCCGTACCAAGTTGTGTAACACTTAGAAAAGCCAGAGACCGATGTAGAAACAAAATGCGTTAGCTGTCGGTGATAGGAATATTCGTCCATCTTGTGGAATAAAGGTAAAGCTCTTTTTTAATATAGGTCGGGAATGAATGATTAAAGAAGTCTATTTTATCGACACTAATTCAGTAACTGTTTTATTGATAATTAAAACTACTTACTTACTCACCATAAAGTGAAGTAAGTAATATTATTTACAAACATAAAAGCGCATTTGTATTTTCCTTGGTCTCTGCAAGATCAATGATCTATTTTATTAAGAAGCGTCGTGTAGAAAAACTTGAAGGAATATAGTAGAAATTTTTTCAATTTTTTTCAGTAAGTATTAAGTTTCGTAGTGATTATAACCCGTACACATTGATCAAATGCGGTACAAACTGCCAATCCTTGTTTATCCGGGCTCCAATCCAAAGAACTAACTGGTTGAGATGAAACAGTGATATTTTGTAAAAGAGACAGATTTCCAACCACACCTTGTTCTATGCCATCCGCGTCTACTATCTTCCTTTTTTCTGGATAATTACTGCAATAAAGATTATAATAAATGATCTATAAAATACAAAATATTTAAATCAAATAAATATTTACTATTTCCAAAGACAAAGGCTTCCTCCTCCGCCACAAGTAACAAATATCTCCCGATTTTGAGGCAAATGTCTGACCAACCATACTGTTGAATTGTGTGCCTAAACATAATATCATTTGTGTTAAAACGAATCAAGTACATATACTATTTTATTTTAATTCTTACTTGTTCAGTAAGGTATGCAAATCCTTTTTTGGGATGTTGTGTTTTTAAATCGAATAAGTAGAATTTCGATTCCAAAGTTGTTGCTACTAGTTTGTTCATTGGAATATCTTTTCTGTCAAATTCAACACTGCAAACTCCATTCTTCAGATTACTTTCCCATCTGACGGACATTGCTTTCAGATCAAACATTTTCATATCCCCATTATCATAACCTGCAGCTACAACTCTTTCTTCAGAGTTATAGGAATTTCCAAATGTGACTGTCCAACAGTCTCTTCGGCTTTCACCTTCTTTAGGTTCCATTACAGCTACTGGACGATCCTTTTGTCTAGGATCCCATACTTTAACACTTCCATCTTTAGAACCAGTTACTAATTCTGGTGCACCACAACCAACACTTTGTCCAGCAACTCCATCAATGGCATTGATGATTTCATTGTGAGCCTTAGCTGTGTAAATTGGTATGGAGGGATCTTCTAAGTTGTAGATGTTAAGTTTACCCTAATAAAGGCAACTTTAAGTCTTCTGGATGTAGGAACAACAAATTAAAATCTGTATTTTATGTATATCATCATAACAAAAATTTTTGATAATGTGATTTTTCTCTATAAACTGCTTTTATTTTTGTACCGATACCTGAAAATCTCCAGTTGCCAAATATCTGTCTTTTAAACTGGATGCCTTAAAAGTACCACATTTTACAGGTTGCGACCTTTCGATATCTTTAATTATTTTCAATTCTCCGCTGGATAATTCATAGATTTGTATTATACCACTACCTCGCGGCCGTGAGCCCATAACCACAAACTTTGCACTGCAAGGTATCCATTTGGTATCAAATAATGAATAATTTACTGATTTCTCAATATGACAAATTATCTGTGGTTTCTCGAGTTTCTCCATATTCAGAAAATCAATTTCACCAAGGGATAGTATCGGTTTTTAGGCAAATTCTAAACCTAATAAAACACCATTTGGATACCAGTATCCATAAACAAACTCGCGTACCATCTAACGGAAAATATTCGAAACATATATCATATATTCCGTAAAACCTGGATTCAAAATGTTTTGCGAGTATTAGATACTTTATTAAAAAAGTATAAAGGAAAATAAGTTTCAATTACAGAATAATTTTTAATCTGTAGCTTCGATATCCTCGTCCTCTTGTACAGGAACGGAATTCGGAGCTTCTAATTTCTTCTTAAATACCTCAATGTTTTTCATCAGTCGTTTATCGGATTCATTTATCTATAAAAAATATTAATAAGTATAATAATACAGTTAGTAATAAGTAGACTTATATGAGAGATATTTACCATTTCTGTAATTTTGTTAATAGCTTCCCGTATATTTTCTTTTGACGTATTGTCATCAATCTCAATACGCAAATCCTTTAAGGATCTAATGAGTACCGTCACTTCAATTTTACTGTTTCGATTCAATATCTCTGCTAAGATCATAAAAGCGAAATTATTGTGCGAACGATAATGTTCTACACCAGATTTCGGATTTCCAAATCTGGTTAAATTCAGTATGAACCTGGATACATCATAGGGGTCAATTTCTTTCAAAGGACTTATCTCTGGTGCCTTACATAAAATTTGTAGCGTAGGCAAGTATGTCTGTTCTAACAATTCATGGGAATCAGGTACACGTGTTACAAAATTATCAAAAAATACGCTTAAGCATTGCCGTAGATAAAAATCGTTATCATTGACAGGATTAAAACACAAAATTATTAATTTTGATAATACGTTTGAACTACTGATTCGTTGGTTGAGCAGTAGTTTACAGAGACCTTCGGCAGCAATTGTTCTCAATCCTTGGTGCTACATTTTTGGAAAATATATATTATTTATTTAATATAAATGAGTATTACTTTACGTGTAATATGTACTTACTGGATGGTCTAATAATCCTGCTAAAATTTTAATAAAATTACGACTATTTCCGACCTCGGATTTATGTGTCGATGATAAAGAAATTTCCGTGTCGTTATCGGTGTATAACTTTGTAGTATGAGATTTCTCAGTTCTACTGGTTGAACTCTCTTCATTATATTCTAAAATATCAAAATGTTCGAGACCATATAGTAATAAAAGATCAAAGATTCCTTTTAAAGCTATTATCCAAATATCTGCATTCTCTTGCTCTAGAGAAAATTGCAGAACTAGCATCATAAGGTGTTTCTTAGCTAATTCTTGATCTAATATGCAACAAATACTGACTGCCCGTATTGCCAAAATATGCACAGTATCATCTGGATGCTGAAAAAGAAAATAGTTGTACCATTCGATTTATTTAAATTTTAGTAATTACTTACTTCTAAACTATCAAGCGCTATTTGCATTAAGCTTCTCAGAGTAGGAGTTAGTGAAACTACAGACTGCATCATTGTACATATTATACTCAAACATTTCCGCATCGTTTCTGGATCACTCTTCTCTTTGATCTCTTCCATAACAGTTATCTGAGGTTGCTCTGTGAGGCTTTGTATTTCTTTATTAACCTCATTTATTTGATTTTTTAAAGCGTCTGCTTTTAAATATTCCTTCTTTTGTATAGCTTGATACTCTTCTTCTTGCAGTGCTAAAACCTTCATCTTCAGCTTTGCTCTCTAAGCATTAAAAAGTAATGCAATTATATATGTATATATATGTTGGTACTTTTTCCTTAAACTTACTTTTGCAAATTTTTGCAAACTTACTTGTACAGGAATTTGTTGTTGCTGTTGTTCAGAGATTTGTATCGTTTGCGTTTCTTTCAAAGGTAGTCTAATTTCACTAATTACATTAGCTAAAGTGTCCAATCTACTATTTACATCTGGTATAACTTTCTGTAAGTGTGTCACTATACATTCAATAATACTTTCAGTACAGTGGTTGCTCATTAAAGTATTACATATTAATTGATTTAATTTGTTCCTTCCAACTTCATCAGAGAGATCATAAGTTGTTGCTATTTCAAATAATTGTAAAAGAATAAATTTCATCATATGATTCTCCCATGTTTTATTTTGGTTTTCAGATACTTTTGTTAGAAAATCCGAGATATAAGTGCAGAATACAGATAATTCGGGTAAAATGTTTTCCATCTCTTCTGTTAGACATTCACAGTGAAAATATTTTACTAAACACCTCCAATACAATACATTTTCACTAAGTAACTTATTTATTGGAATTAATTTTGTCTGATTATCTATAGGCAACTGTTCTATCAGTTGATTTATTGGAGTGTTCCTAATGAAATAAAGAATTAGATGTTTATTGCTTGAAACAAATATTTAAAAACAAATACTTTGTAAATATAAATTAAATACATACTTAAATAAAGATTCTAAAGCTAGAATTGATACATCTGTACCAATCTCAGCATCAAGAGCTCTTACTAAATCAATAAAGTTCCCATTAAAATGTCTCAACCAAGAAGGCAATAGAACATTTTGTACAGTTTTTCTGACCATTTCAGATCTATCTTTGAGACCATCATTTAACAACTGATCTCTCTGTGTGATGGTTAAAGATCTCACAGTGACTTTACTAATAAATACATATGCCACTTTACGGACTGTTTCATCTGTATCTCTTGTTCTTCTTAATGCAACCTGTAAAGTTTTCTGATTTTTTCCCATACTCATCAGTGCTGCTTTTCGGACCTCTGCTTTTGGGTCTTTAGTGGCATGAAATATGTACATTTTTATAACTGGGCATTCGTCATTTGATGGGTCCTGAAGTCTATGCAATGCAAAAATTGCTTGAGCTCTAACTTTATGCGACTTATCTAATAAACGACTCATCATGGATACTGTTATGTTTTCACAAATTTCATCATCTATGGATGCTTGATCACCCATTGCATTTAGAAGTATATTCAAGAAGTGACAAATACGATATCTCACTCCTGGATTCTTTGCACAATGATGTATCAAAATAAAATTAAGCAGATTACTCAGAAAAGGGCATAAAGATTCTTCAGATTCCTCGTCATTATCAGTGACTGAATATAAACTAACAGCAAATTTAGCAGCAAATTCGAGAGTGTTATTAACTCGCGAATGATGTTGACTGATACTAAGTGGAACTTTTAAACAGGACATGAAACAATCCAAAAAAACAGATAATTCACTCTGAAATATACAAAGAGGTTTAAGAATTTATAGTACAAATAATCTATTTTGAAGTAACATTACACACTATCCTTACCTCTTCGTATATCTTCTTTAATTTCTTCAAATTCTTCTGATGACATGTTTTATTAAACTGAATATTATAGAATATTTCGTTTATTATATTGCCTATGTTTTGTTTCATGCCTGTAAGTTATCAAAAATGCAGGAAATATTACATACAAAATATTGACACAAACATAAGATCGTTAATGTTTCAAATATGCTACCATATAAATAATATAAGCAGTTTACTGGGACTGACACAACATCCTCGATAAAATCACTAGGATAAAAGAAGCCGTTTTATCGGTGCTGGCAACTTCACAGCCGACTCTAGTACTAGCCATGCTGAACAACGTGGCAACACCGCTCACGTGACAATCGGGAGTCCTATTTTCAAAAACAGAGTCCTGTGCTCGGAATTGTAATTAACGTCTTTTTTAATTAAAAGCTGTAGTAATATACACTATTTTGTGTTAATTATGTATAAACAATATATAAACGTTGCAACTATGGCAAATAGAAGTGATGTGGTAGTATAAAATTGTTATAAATGTGATATATATTTTGTGTACTCTCAAAGTAGTTTGGTGTTGTGAAGCATGATATTTGAAATATTTACAGTGGTTTCAAGAAAATTTAGGTATGAAGCAAAATGAAACCATCTTTGGATCAAATTGAAACATTTAAGAATTGATAAACGTGTATATAAGTTAATAAAAACCTTGAAACAATCGAAATTATTGGAACGAAACCAAAGAGGATATGTGAAGTCCAGAGAGTAGTCGGGAGTCTGACGACGTTGATTGGCTTAGAGACTGGGAGTCCGGGAGGCAGATAGAGTAGGGTAGGTGTTGATATATTCAGACCGGACTCCCGCGGTGTTGCTATTTTTACTTCAGCACGGCTAGTACTAGATTCGGCTGTGGAAGAATCTCGCAACAATAATACATATAAAACTAAGTAGCGTAATATACTGTAGAATACCATGTATAATACATTGTATAATATCTCATGTATAATACGTGCTCAACTCTGCTGTATAATATCTCACCACGTATAATACGTGCCCAACCCTGGTGGGGATGACAGGCAATCCATATTTATAGTCAAAGTCACTCAAAGTTTCTAACATATTCTCTCCTGTTGTGTGTCCGTTCGCGGAAAATGGGGATATTTGGGGAATTAAGGCACAGGTATGACAATCCGTGGAGTGCAGAGGCGCTCCGCTCGCAAGGCGCGGAAATGAAAATAATAAACTATTATTACTATTCACTGTGCTTTTATATTTCAACTCTTTATTTATACTGACTTGTAACTTTGAGTTTATAGTGCGTTAAATATAGCGCGTGAGAAGGATCTGTCTAATTTGACTGACAAAATCATTCTGCCGGTTCTGCGCTTGGCGGCGGAGATCTTCGCGCGTTGTCCGTCGATTCCCCTTCCTTGATGGATCCTGGATCCTTCCTCAGGATCATCCCTCGTCCAATGGTGGAGGAGTCCACCCCGTCTCGTGTGGGCCCCTTTTCCTGGCTGTGGTCCAGCCTCAGGTGCGTGGAAGTGAAGGCGCTCCGCCAAGACGCTAAAACGTTGCAGCGCACATGTGCTACGAGAAAGCGTGGGACCCAAAGAAATTAGGAAACGACAAGACCTTGTACTTGCCAAAGCAACTCTTGAGGAAATTTACGACCCTCTTAGAATGCACGAATGGACAGGATATTGAAAAGACTTCGTAACTTTTAAGGACCGTTCGTGACTTGGTCGAAAACTACGAATTGGCCATGGTCTATCATAAATTAGTCGTTTAGGAATTTTAGAAATGAAACTATTCTATTCTCTGGATTTCCGGCCTTCTCTCAACTCGATCACCCACGTCGAGGGGTTTACAATTTAATCTTTGTCTATTTATATAAGTGTACGCACAGATGACGTTTGAATTTCGTTCTTAATTTATGACCTTCGATACAAAGGGTCCTCGACTGATACTCGAGACATATCGATACTACAGACTATCGATAAATATTCCCATGGCAGTGTCGCCATAACACTAAACATATTCACGTGATAACGTTTCACGTTACACTCCAATAGCCGTGCTGAAGTAAAAATGGCAACACCGCGGGAGTCCGGTCTGAATATATCAACACCTACCCTACTCTATCTGGTATAGATGCGAAACGTATTGTGAACCAAGCTGTATAAATTATGAACTAGGTTGTAAAGAAAGTTGAATGTGGTGACTGAAGTGCGTCAAATTTAAATTGTAAAGGAAGAACAGTATTTTGTTATAAAGGACTCCTTATTATACAGCTCGATCAGTAGAAGAGAATCGGTTTTTTGTTATCAAATGTTAGTCATGGATAGAATTAATAAGCGTTGCTAACCATGATTTACTTAGTGATCAGGAGCTGTATATATAGAGGAACTTTGCGGAATCGCCGTCAACCTTTGTCCTTTGTTCTTTGTAAACGCTCAAGAGAAGTACTCGTGTAACACATTTATTCAATTTATTGTTCTTGTTCCAATACATTAAAGTTAAAGTTAATCGTTATTAAAAGTTTAGTTCATTTAAAATAATTAAAAATTAGTTTTCTTTTCTTTAAAATAATTCACGTGAGCAGAGTGCTTAGCGCTCCACGGGCGGCTTACCCACGTTCCTTGGATTTAAAAATCCCTAGAATTACGAAGAATCTCGCAACAATATACAGCTCACAGCTCCTGATCACTAAGTAAATCATCGTTAGCAACGCTCACTAATTCTATCTATGACTAACATTTGATAACGAAGAACCGATTCTCTTCTACTGATCGAGCTGTATAATAAGGAGTCCTTTATAACAAAATACTGTTCTTCCTTTACAATTTAAATTTGACGCACTTCAGCCACCACATTCAACTTTCTTCACAGCCGACTCTAGTACTAGCCGTGCTGAAGTAAAAATGGCAACACCGCGGGAGTCCGGTCTGAATATATCAACACCTACCCTACTCTATCTGCCTCCCGGACTCCCGGACTCTCAGCCAATCAACGTCGTCAGACTCCCGACTACTCTCTGGACTTCAGATAACCTCTTTGGTTTCGTTCCAATAATTTCGCTTGTTTCAAGGTTTTTATTAACTTATATACACGTTTATCAATTCTTAAATGTTTCAATTTGATCCAAAGATGGTTTCATTTTGCTTCATACCTAAATTTTCTTGAAACCACTGTAAATATTTCAAATATCATGCTTCACAACACCAAACTACTTTGAGAGTACACAAAATATATATCACATTTATAACAATTTTATACTACCACATCACTTCTATTTGCCATAGTTGCAACGTTTATATATTGTTTATACATAATTAACACAAAATAGTGTATATTACTACAGCTTTTAATTAAAAAAGACGTTAATTACAATTCCGAGCACAGGACTCTGTTTTTGAAAATAGGACTCCCGATTGTCACGTGAGCGGTGTTGCCACGTTGTTCAGCATGGCTAGTACTAGAGTCGGCTGTGCTTTCTTTACAACCTAGTTCATAATTTATACAGAATGGTTCACAATACGTTTCGCATCTATATTCTATTAAACCAGCGAGGATCGCAACATTATACTCCAAGTGGCGCCATCTCTACTTAACGTTATGTATGTATGAACTGAGGTGAGGTACGGCCAATCAGATTGCGTTATTCTCGTGGACTTCTTGTGATTGGTAAACAGTACATTACATTGCATTACATATGTAACGTGAAACGTTATCACGTGAATATGTTTAGAGTGGTGTGGCGACACTGCCATGAGAATATTTATCGATAGCCTATTGTATCGATATGTCTTGAATGTTCTTCGAGGACCTTTGTATCGCTGGTCATAAATTAAGAGCGAAATTCGAACATCGTCTAAGCATACCCTTATATAAATAGACAAAGAGTAAATTGTAAACCCCTCGACGTGGGTGATAGAGCTGAGAGAAGGCCGGAAGTCCAGAGAATGGAATAGTTTCACTTGGAAAATTCCTAAAAAACTAATTTATGATAGACCATAGCTAATTCGTTGTTTTCGACCAAGTCACGAACGGTCCTTAAGGGTTACGAAGTCTTTTTCGATATCCTGTCTTTTCATGCACTCTAAGAGGGTCGTAAATTTCCTCAAGAGTTGCTTTGGCAAGTACAGGTCTTGTCGTTTCCTAATTTCTCTGGGTCCCACGCTTTCTCTTAGCACATGTGCGCTGCAACGTTCTAGCGTCTTGGCGGAGCGCCTCCACTTCCACGCGCTTGAGGGTGGACCACAGCCAGGAGAAGGGGCCCACACGAGACAGGGTGGACTCCTCCACCATTGGACGAGGGATGATCCTGAGGGAGGATCTAGGATCCACCAAGGAAGGGGCATCGACCGACAACGCGCGAAGATCTCCTCCGCCGAGCGCAGAATTGTCTGAATGATTTTGTTACTCGTTACGAACAAGTCGTCCTCACTCAGAAGGGTCTAAGCCTTAACAACGCAACTTTAAAGTTCTGATTTTAATTTGAAATACAAAGTATTAAAGTACTAAAAACAAAAATTACAGTTTCTTATTTTTGTAAATCCGCGCCTTGAGAGCGGAGCGCCTCTGCGCTCCACGGACTGTCACACCTGTACCTAAATCCCCGAAAATCCCTATTTTTCCGCGACGGACACGCAACATATTTGGTGACAGCGGTGGGATATTTTAAAAGGGAATAGTTCAAAGTGGGGACAAACATTTAAAAGGTGACAGTTTAAAAGGTGAGAATTCTGTGAAAACCAATTTAAAACAGTGAAATAACTGAATAGTTAAGTAAAGTGATTGTGACAAACTTATGTACACTTAAATTACTTTATCAACTCGCGGGTGTGTATTAAACGGTCAATTAAACATTCTACAAACTATTTTATTGAACTGTTATATATTTAATAAGTGGACAAAGTTTAGTGCAACTTCTCCCTCTTGGGTTTTGGCACGGTTTCCCCAAGAGCGAAGGGTAAATACCGGAGACAGGTGATTTCGGCTGCCGTGCAAGCCATCCACCGAAATCACGCGCACCTCGTCCACGTCATCGTTGCATCATTCCTGGAGCATAAGAGAGGATAAAATAAAATCCCGGGACCTGATCGGACTGTTCACGGAGCTGAGGCCTACCTGATGCAGCTGATTGCGGACAAATTTTACTGGAGTACCTGCTGCTGAATTGGGGACCATTGAGCTGGAGTACCTGCTGTCGAATTTGGGGACCATCGAGCAGGAGACGGGACAGAGCCATACACCTGTGAAAGAAGCAACAAGTTAAACGAGAAACGTTAAGTGACTTCTTGCGGATTATAAATTTGTCGTGCAACAAAACTGTAAGTCTAGAATATTAGCAAATAGACTATAGAATATTAGTTGTAACCGTTAGTCCTAATTCGATAAGATGCCGCCGTTTTCAACGAAACTAGTAAGGGCCAGAAGGAGGAAGGGTCGCAAAAATAGTCTGCGTGGTGATAGCGTCATATTTGTGGAGGAAAGTTCAATAGAATCTCCTAGTAGAGGACCTTCTTCCTCAATTGGAAGATTTGAACCCCGATTACAAGAGTCATCTCTTGTACCTGCCCAGTCCACGATGCAGAGTTGGGGTGAGCCGGGCGGTGTATCTGTTCCTTCTAGTAGCACGGCAAATAACACGCTAATGATTCCACCTAGGCCATTACCTTCTAATGTTTTGAATTCCTCTTCGGATGCGAATGAACATCAGACAAATACCTTAAATTTAGAGTCATTACAACCTTCCAAGGACAGTATGACTAGGGACGCGGTCACGTCATCGCCTAAACTTTCAAAAACCTTTACGGGCACCCAATACGATGTAGTAAAAAGTTTTATTCCTCATTTTGATGGAAAGCCGTCCCAGGTAAACCATTTTATTGCCCAATGTAGGCTTGCCGACACCTTAGCAAAAACCGAGGACAAAACACTTTTGCTCGCTATAATTCGGAATCGAATGCAACACCGGGTTTACAGGGGTATAATGGGTGATGACGAACCGGAAACTGTGGAGGAATTGATAGCCCTGATTAAATCCACGTTCGCCCAAAGTTTTAATCTAAATGATACTCAAAATGAGTTGAAGACCGTACGCCGTCGTGAAAGCGAATCGATCGAGGAATACGGGTTCCGAGTAAACGATATTTTAGATCGTGGGGTACAGGGGGCGAAAGAAGATTTGCGTTCAGAGGAATTTGGGGGCATTAAAAAATTACTTATGACGAGCGCGGTGGCAGGATTTTTAGGGGGACTGGGAAACGATGTTGTCGCGAGTATTCTGTCTAACGATGATGTTAAAGATTTAAGAGCAGCGATTAAATTAGCGTCAAAAATTGAAACTCAGGTGAATTCATCGCGGAATTCACAGAACACCAACGTTTCTAATACGAATTCTAGAGTTCTAATCGCGGAAACGCGCGACCGCAAATGTGTTACCTGTGGAAAGGCCGGGCATATTTCTGCGGATTGTCAGGTGCGTCGGGATCGTCGCTTCATAAATTCGAATCGTGACCACCAGTTTCCTTCAATTTCTGAAAATCAAGGAAATCCTTTGAAATCGAGAAGGAATTGTTAGCAGTTTTGTTTGGAATGGAATATTTTCGACCCTACCTTTATGGTCGACAGTTTACATTGCTCACTGACCATAGACCCTTGGTATGGTTACACAATGTCAAGGATCCAACATCTAAAATCATGAGGTGGCGGATCAGGTTGAACGAATACGATTATACTGTGGTATATAAACCTGGAAAGGTCAACGCCAATGCCAACGCACTTTCACGGAACCCTGTAGACACCTGTATAAATTCAGATCCTCAACCACTTATCGTATGGTCTAGCATGGATTCCAATCCCGGTTCGCGGTGTCTGGAAGGGGTGCTTGCCTGCGCAGGTGGGACACCAGTTGCAGGCTCCGAACCGGCCGGGATGGACGAAATGCAGTTCGTCTATAATGAATCGCTAGTGGCCTCTGCATTCCTGGCGCGCGGGAAGGCAGCGGCTAAACAAAACGAGGTCACCAACAAGGAGCAAAGAACTTTGAATACGGAAGCTGTGTCATCAAAAAGTTTATTTAAATCTCGGAAGGGATCATTCCATGAGGGTGCCTGTGTGGTCCCGGTGCAGCTTGTGCCAGCGCAGGGGTGTGATCCCCGTGATTGTGTGATTTTGTCCTCGCCTCGAACAGTGGTTTCGGGTGAGAGTGTGAGAATGAGGTCGCAGCTAGTGGATGTGCTGGACCCACCGTGAAATCCACCCCAGACGTACATGCGGGTGCGGCTCGGTGAAATGTTCCCAACCAAACAGGCCATTTATTTGCCCAGCGTGCCATGATTCGTGCTATGTCGGGCAGACCAACGTGCATTTGCGCGCTCTACCTGTACAATGCCCAGCGCGCATGGGTACATGCTTGCATGGTTCTAGGGTTGATGTTGTGGAATGCCTTGGCAGAGAGACCAGGCAGCGTGGACAAGTTGGCTGGGATTCCCAAAGAGATTGTGACCTCGTTAACGGTTTCTGTAAAGAAAAAGATAAGGATTATAGATCTTAATAATGTCAAGAGCGGTGAAAATAGTAAAAGAACAATATTGATTAATAATTTGGATAATGCAATGAATAGACCTACGGTAGATCCTTCCCTTTTACCTGTTATACATCATGCAGAGGATAATCTTTTTATGAGACGCGATAATCTTATTCATTTTACGCCTCTTCTTTTATTTTATAAGTCATAAAGAAGCTCTCCTATAAACTTAGAAAAAGCAACCGAGTGAAATGTTTGAGATGATAATTTGCTGAAATGCAAGCTCGAATAGCCCCAGGGTTTCGAATGATTCCCCGCGCTTTATGTCTCTCTGTTTACAAACGGTGTATAAATGAAAGATCACTTCAGATGGGTCGTCGCTGTTTGACGCGCGATGCTGTTCCTTTTTTTTTGTCTGTCTGTGCGTTTAGCTTCGCTAAACAAGTTAAATGGTTAAAAGGCGTCGAAAAAGCGAATACACACGTGACAAGACAAATCTAACGAGTAAAGGAACGCTCCGCTCCAAGATAAAAATGGTTGTTTACAATCAATACAGCGTTTCGGTACCCCTGATCGTAATTTGAAACTGTGTAACAAAAGAGAGGAAAGCGAATGGTGAAGGAACTTCAAGCCTCCGTGGCGTGGCTAGAACTTGTGATAAAAGTATGTTTGCAGCAATTATGCATGCTCCCGTTAAAACAGCATTTCAATGTCTCGCATGGCTTTAAGTCCTAGGAGGCTTCAACATTTAGAATACATCCGGATAGATTCAATATTTCTGAAATATATTGTTACCTTGTGTGTTGGTAAAGTTGTAGTTCCACCGAAGTCGAGTAGTTGACCTTAAATTATCAGGGATATTCTTCATAGGGCACACCGTAGTTTTATTAATTATCTCAAGCACTATTGCACAAAGACGGATTGGGACGATTGGATACGTTTTTGCATTTTCTCTTATAATACTTCTGTACATGAGAACACTGGTTTACCCCTCATGAATTGGTTTTTGGTGTTAAAGCCAACGTACCTTCTAAATTTGCCAAGGGGCAAACGCCTCGAACCTTTGCACAGCATTTTAATGAGCTTTTTACTAAAATTACCACCACACAGACTATGGCTGCACGAAATCTGAAAAAAACAAAACAGAAAAACAAGGGTTACTACGATCAAAGATTAAACCCATGTAAATTTAATGTAGGCGACATGGTATATTTACTTAAAGAGCCTAGAACTTCCGAATTTGATTGCGACTGGCTGGGTCCGTATAAAATAAGTCGAATGTTTGGTGACTTAACAGCGGAATTAAAATTAAAAGGAAATAAATGTAAAATAGTACATACCAATAAATTAAAATTGGCGTGTATTCGGCTGGACGATTCTACCGAAGACTGAATTAAATATATGCGTATCGTTGAATGCCTTGTAAGCTTGTGCTTATGTTCTATTAATATTACGGTTTATGAATAATCCAGAGACTATTGACAATATATGGAGGAATTATTATTTGTTGTACGTTTACGTATACAGATTATGTGTGCGAAGCTACGAACTATTGAATGGACTATTGAAGATTGTACGATGAGTGACATTGAATGAACTACTAAATACAGACTTACTTTCACGTTATTAGGAAGTTATGTTATGAATGAAAAAGCTGTTTTTTTTTGTAAACACCTTTTTGTATAAGGGGGAAGGTGTAACGTGAAACGTTATCACGTGAATATGTTTAGAGTGGTGTGGCGACACTGCCATGAGAATATTTATCGATAGCCTATTGTATCGATATGTCTTGAATGTTCTTCGAGGACCTTTGTATCGCTGGTCATAAATTAAGAGCGAAATTCGAACATCGTCTAAGCATACCCTTATATAAATAGACAAAGAGTAAATTGTAAACCCCTCGACGTGGGTGATAGAGCTGAGAGAAGGCCGGAAGTCCAGAGAATGGAATAGTTTCACTTGGAAAATTCCTAAAAAACTAATTTATGATAGACCATAGCTAATTCGTTGTTTTCGACCAAGTCACGAACGGTCCTTAAGGGTTACGAAGTCTTTTTCGATATCCTGTCTTTTCATGCACTCTAAGAGGGTCGTAAATTTCCTCAAGAGTTGCTTTGGCAAGTACAGGTCTTGTCGTTTCCTAATTTCTCTGGGTCCCACGCTTTCTCTTAGCACATGTGCGCTGCAACGTTCTAGCGTCTTGGCGGAGCGCCTCCACTTCCACGCGCTTGAGGGTGGACCACAGCCAGGAGAAGGGGCCCACACGAGACAGGGTGGACTCCTCCACCATTGGACGAGGGATGATCCTGAGGGAGGATCTAGGATCCACCAAGGAAGGGGCATCGACCGACAACGCGCGAAGATCTCCTCCGCCGAGCGCAGAATTGTCTGAATGATTTTGTTACTCGTTACGAACAAGTCGTCCTCACTCAGAAGGGTCTAAGCCTTAACAACGCAACTTTAAAGTTCTGATTTTAATTTGAAATACAAAGTATTAAAGTACTAAAAACAAAAATTACAGTTTCTTATTTTTGTAAATCCGCGCCTTGAGAGCGGAGCGCCTCTGCGCTCCACGGACTGTCACACCTGTACCTAAATCCCCGAAAATCCCTATTTTTCCGCGACGGACACGCAACACATATGTAAATGCTGCGACTAATTTACTTAAAGCAAATAATATTAAAGACAGTACTGGACAGTAATAATTAGCATTTATCCGAAGATTTATAAATCATCTAAATAGAATTATATGTAATATTTCACAGAAATACAAAATCAGTCAAGGTAATGTAACGTATATAACCTAATTGTACGCAAAAAGTAATTGCGCAACAACTTTTCTTTGTTTACTTTTAATTTTTATGATTGGGTAAAGATATAAAAATAGTTTCGTTTTAGAAAATAAACATTTTATTAAATTTACTTCTCTGATAATTAAGTTAAAGTATTATTATTATATGATTTACTATTTGGTTGTATTATAAGTAAAAGTTTGATAGTAATGAAACAATAGCACTGTTCATGATTGTTTATTGCAAACAGTTAAAACAATTTATCTTTTCCAGAGAAATGAATGGTATTGAGAGTTATGTAACATGCCCATTTAATGAGTCACATCGTATACTAAGAGCTCGGTTTCAGATGCACTTAGTCAAATGCAGTAAAAATTATCCTAAGCATATGAAAGAAGTATGCCCTTTTGATGCGACACATCGGTTGGTTCCAGAAGAGTTTGAGGTAATTTAATTGTAACATTTGTACAGTTATTATAAACTTATACAAGTGATTCGTTTTGTATTTTAATACTGCTATTGTTTATTATTATAGCATCATCTTACAGTATGTCCAAGTAGTGGAAATGTGCGGTGTTATCAAAACATATTGGGACCTGAACAAAATGTAGGAACAGTTTCAATACAACAAGCATGTGATCTACAGACTACTGTGGATGATGTAGAGGATTGGTCTGGGGTATGGAAACTATTAATTTTAAAGAAATTAAGAGAGAGCATTTCATGACCATTAACTAAAATTTATTGAACAGATGTTATTTCTAAAGTTTAATTGTTTTTTTTTTAGAACAATCCTTCATACAATCCATTTACTGCTTCAGAAAAGAAAAATGTTCTGAGAATACCAATAGCTATGTCAAAATCAGAAAAGAAGAAGTTCAAGCTGTATGAAAGACAGAGATTATCATCTTTAGAAAATAACATCAATAAGAACCGCAATGATACCTGTGCTTTTGAACAAAAGAAAGTGAGTTTATACTTTATTATGACCAATTAAATTTGCTATGATTTATCTACCTATTATTGATATTTCCTTTCTCAGGAACGTGAAGGACCATTACGAACTCCTAAACACGCTCCTGCGGCAGTGTTTCATGATGCAAGCACTTCAACTAATAATATTGTTTTGCAACTGAAGAACATTTCTATTGATAAAAACAACGAAACTTCAGTAAACAAAAATTCGACATTAAATAATGATGATTCTGGGAAAGATAACAAAATAAATACGTCGATAAATACTTTAGTAAATGACATTGGTAGTATTACCAATCAAAAAAGTAGTTTTCAGTTTGAACGAAAAGAAAATATGTCAATAAAAAAAACATGCACCAATGCTACAGAAAAAAAGGATCTTAAAGCAAATAACATCCTACCAAAGTTAATTAAACATTATACTTTCGAACAGCAAAGATTAAATGTACAAAATGGCATACTGTATGGAGAACCAAAGAAAGTTAGTACTGGAAGAGGATTTATTCTTGCTTGCAAGCGTTCAAATCCTAATACATCAAAGAAACAAGAAGAATATGAGAACTCAAAATCTTCTAATTCTCCTTCTGATTATGAGGACGACTAATAAGACTTCAGTATTTCTATTATGACAGTAATGATAAGATATCGTTAAAAAATCAGCTGCAAAATCGTCATACGATTTTGACATTTTTTTTTATGGTTTTGTTATTCGATAAAAATACTTATTTTGTTTTATGATACTTGATTATTGATAAATTGCAGCCGAAAAAATATAATTCTTTGCCAGTAATTACATAGGATATATCTGAGTAATTAGTATACAGGGTGATTTTCTCGCAGCCGGACATAAAGGAACACTGGCGGGAATGAATCCCTTGACTGCACCATGAAGAGGTCCGCATTGCCACGTGCCAGCGAGGACCTACACGGGCCGAGACGACTCTGTGTGTGTGTGCGCGTGCGTGCGTGCCTGGACCTCTTCATGGTGCGGGCAAGGGGTTCTTTGTCGCCAGTTCCTTTGTGTCCGAGTGCGAGAAAATCACCCTGTAGTATCCTTAATGCTATAAGTTCATAGAGGATTTCAAGTCTCTATTTTGTGACCTCATTTTTATATTAACAACTTTATGTGAGGACATATGTAAAAATTTATAATAAAATTAAATGGTACACATTAGACATTAAAGTTGTACTAAAATATTTCAACCAAAAGTTCATAATGGTTTAAATAAAAAAGATTTAAAATAAAGACTTCTTTCATGCCAAGAAAATGTTAGAAACCTAGTTATTTATAAAAGGTTGGTCAATATTTGGTAATTATTTAGATTACAGCCGGCACCTCCGATTTCGATGATTTTTAAATATGTTGTAGAAATCAGCATTTTGAACAACTTTTTCCTATACATGTAACCGCCGCTCGGCCTTGGTTTTCTAGATATTTTCGAAAAACTGTCGGAACTAACACATTGAATTCTGCCCATCCGTGTGTGTTGATGACAACGTACGCATTAGTATGGGATCGCTGGTTTTCTATGGTTTCTGCAAGCAACAGCACGGCGACCGATGACCAATATATGTATATATGTATACCTTGTATTACACTTCTGTATTCATAATTTCAACGTATCGTAGCTATGATGGCAGCCGGGAATTTAATATAGCCTAACCTAACCCAATCTACTCTACCTAATCAGTGAATTAGGTTAGGTTTGTGACCTTCAATGTTTTTGTTGATTTGTGTTCTCCATCTTGTAGGATGAATTGTTTGTTATTGATCATGTTCCAAATGATTTTGGTGAGATGAAGGGGGAATTTGTATTTGTCGAGTTTAAAGAGGAGTCCCTTGTGCCACACTGTTTCGAAGGCTTTTTCAAGAAAAAGGTATAGATTGTTGCAAAGTGCTCTGTTTATGTCGGGCGTTAGTTTGTTTATAGCGTATACTGTGGATGTTTTATTTCTGAAACAGAATTGGAATTGTGGTAATATTTTCTGATTTTCTGCGTGTGTTGCGATTTGTTCGTGTAGTAATTTTTCAATGATTTTGCTAATGTTGGGGCGGAGGCTTATGGGTCTGTAGTTCATGGGGTTATTGCCGTCTTTTCCTTTCTTTTTTAATGCTATCATTTTTGCGGGTTTCCATGTTGTGGGGAAGTAGCCGTTATTTATTGTGTTGTGTTGACGGTATAATTCCGAATAATGAGTCTTGATGTTGAATAAATAGTTGGATTTATTTATGAGATCGAGAAGAAGGATTTTAAAACAAGTGAAGAAAGGGGATGCCTATTAGCAAAGAATATTACCAACAATAAAAATATTGAAAACATAAGGAGACAACTTAACAAATAATCATTATTAATACAAACTAGGAAAAATTAAATTAAACTAAATTAAAGAAATATTCCTAACATACTGCGTTGTTAAATATTATTGTGTATAAAAATATAAATTTTCCAGGGAGTTTTCTCAGGACTGCGTTTGGTATTCGGTCGAAGCTAGATGATTTTTGGCTGTAGTTCCTGTAAAATCAGATTAAACGGAGCGGATTATGAATTGGTGTAAAAATGAATATCAAATAAAACACTGTGGGCGTTAGCTAGAATTGACTCTGCTCTGTATTTTGCGATGCTCAGTACAAGGCAACGGTCACAACAAGAATGCCCTGCCGTCCCAAAAATCCTCCGTCGTGAGAACGCCTTCGACAGTATGCCCTTTTTGTTTATGACACCCCCAAGTTAAAGGACTTCCCCTTAAGGAGGAGAAACGCGCTGATAGAACGCACATGGCCTGCCTCAACCGTTCGTTTATTTCAAATTTTCTAACATTCCGAATAGCCCCGGTGGCTGATCGACATGGGCTTTGGAGGGGGGGGGGGGGGGGGGGGGGGGGGGGGGGGAGAAACCCCCAAATATAAAACGATATCCACATCAGACCAGTAGTTCCGGAGATATTAATTAAAAACTTTTGCAGAATAGATAGAATTTTGCCTATACAGACGTGACTAACACAACCATCCCCGCTGTAGAAACCGTGGTCGTCAAGCGTCAAGGAGCCGATGGCACAGTAGGGGGTCTCGACTTGGGTATCTACAGGGTGTAGAAATGTATAAAGCGTATTATTTTGTAAACTGTGGTTCACGTTTACATTAATCTCGTCGTTTTACTCGTTTTGATATGCTGAATACGAATATGATTTTTGTTTTTAATGGAAATAACAAGCTGTCGAAATATTCGCAAACAACTTTACACAGAATTTTACCCAATAATGTAAGGCATATGTAAGGCGAATTTGCCAGTTATACATATACGAACAGAAGGTAACACTTTGTTCGTCTACGAATATCAAACCGTAGTAGGTTAGGTTAGGTTATATTCTCCGTGGCGGGGGTGCCGGGGGAGGGCCAAAGCCTAAAACACAAGAATAATTACTTTAAATACAATGGTACAATGATCACAACTGAATGAGACACCCTATAGATACTCAGGTCGAGACCCCCTACTGTGTCATCGGCTACTTGACACTCGACGACCACGATTTCTACAACGGGGATGGTTGTGTTAGTCATGTCTGTATAGGCAAAATTCTATGTATTCTGCGAAAGTTTTTAATTAATATCTCCGAAACTACTGGTCTGATGTGGATACCGTTTGATATTTGGGGTCTTCCCCCTCCCCCTCCCCCCTCCAAAGGGGGACCCCCCCTCCGACGGGGCTATTCGGAACTATACCCTGATTTTTTATTGTTGGTTCTTTTCAGAATGCTGGCTATTTGAAATTGTGAAGTGAAAGTGTTTGGGTGGTTTTCCAGTGAGGGATTGTATGCCGGGGAGTTAGTAAAGAAGGTTGTTATTGTTTTGTGGGTGGTGGTATCATCGGTTAGTTGTTTTTTAATAGCGGAGGTTTTTGTTTCTACTATTGTGTTGAGTTGAGGGCTACCTAAGTGGGCGTTTTGATTGTGTGTTAATTCGAAGTAGGCTCCTGGTGCGTTTAGCTTGGTTGAAGAGTCTGTTATCGTCAGTGTATTTGCGTTTCGTATTAGAGATGAGGTGTCTATTTCAGCTGTTTGGATGAGGACGTAGTTGTTTTTGCTTATTGTGAGGGATTCTATGTGGTGGGAGGAGTTTTTGGTCTTGAAGATATTATTGATTTGCTGGAAGGGGTTTGTTGGTCCTTTTATGGCAATTTGGCTTATTTTATCTTTCCAGTAAGCGTTTATTGATTTTTTAAATTCCGCTCCAATTTCTGTTTTTATGTCTTTAAAAAGTTTTGTTAATGTATTTTTTGCTAGGAGGGATGTTTTATCGTTGTGATTGTTTAGTTTCATTAGCTGGTTTAGTATGTGGTTTTTGTTTCTTTGGATGCCTCTGTGGCTCGGGGGTTGTAGAATACGGCCACGGTATCCCCTGCCTGTCACACACACACAACACGCGCGCGCGCGTATGGAAGTAAAAGTATGGAGAAAGTAAGGCAATGATAAGATAATTCAAAAAATGCGCGGGATGTGCCATTCCCACGGCGCGTGGCCGATAGAGTTCGTTGCGAAAAATGGGGGCAGATTAGTCCCCTAAAGCGCCGGCCCCTTTAGGGGTGAAATGAGATGATGATGGTGTTTCTTTGGAGGATTTTTATTCTTTTGTTTTGTAGGAAGATTTCTGCGGAGTTTGGAGTTTGGGGATTTGGTTTGCGGTATTGTTTTGTCTATTGCATTATCCCTACTCTTTGCTATTGCTTTATGTATGGCCGTTTCTAGCACCTTGAAGTTTACATCTATTTCGTGGTTTAAAAGGTTTCTGTCGTGTGGGATTTTTAAGTTTTTTATTTCGAGTGATGCTATTTTTTTTAATTTTTCCCAGTTTGTTTTGTTGTAGTTGGGCCGTTGTATTGTAGGTGTCGTGTTTAGGTGAGGTATATTGTCTATGGAAATGGTGAAGGTAAGTGTGTTGTAGACCTTACCGACTCACCCACCGATGACGCACAGTGGGACAAAACGGCTTTCGGCGATCAAAAATCTGTAACTTCGATTCTATTGGAAATCTTTAAATGAAATTTTGGGAAGTTTTTGCCTATATTATGGTACTTAAGTTGTACCAATGTAAATCATATTGAATTACAAGGTGTCAAAATAAAGTGTAATCCTTTACTTGTTAGATATGTTTTATGTCATTTAACAAAAATTTGACACAAAATTGTTAATAACTATAAAAGAAACGGATTTAATAATTAAAAAATGATAAGACATGTGTTATTATAATATATTTATTTATATTTATTATAATCTATACCAAATCATTCGTGAAAACAGTTTCGACAATTATGAAAATTTATTATGGTATATTGCAAGGACGAAATAAAGTTTTGGAATGCAATTAACTGGTTAATTATCGTATCTGGTATGTTTTTCTATCATCGTGCGCATCGGTCAAGATGGGTGTAATTTCATTAAATCGCCATTTTCTTGAAAAAGTGCAAAAACGTACACCCAATTTTTTCAGATTCTGATAGAGGAAGGTTCACTCTTTCCTGTAGTAATAATTAAACATTCGGCAAGTGCCGGCATTTTTTTTAAATCAAACTCAAAGTTGAGTTTTTAGTTAAATGTAGGTACTTCGTTTCAATCAGATCCTATTATTTATAAATAGTTGTTAACATTTTAACTCACTTTATGCACTGAATAGAATCTATACTAATCTAGTAAACTTTATAATTTATTTGAATTTTATCTTTCTGAATAAAATTCATTAGAATCGTACATTGAAATTACGAGTAATATCATCAGCGTTTTGTTTTGACGAATTTCTACTGACTTTGAGTGCGAACCAAGGCAAAACGGATGCAAATATGAGAAAACGGATTACACTACGTTAAACTACAGTTTATTCTCTATCGATGTATGTAAATAGTTTTTCAATTTTCGAATTCACGAAAATCGTCTTTTGATCGCTGAAAGCTGTTTTGTCCCACTGTGCGACGTTGAAAAACTTTTTGATATTTTAGAAGATAAAGTGCGTAATTTTTAATTATTTACAATAACTTCACTCTCTCCATTCAGATCTTCCTCTATCCAGTGCAGAAATGTTAGAAATCACATAATGCACTAAGTGTGTAAAGGAAATGTAAAAATTGAAAGTATTTGTCATGTTATCGCACGAAATATGTCGAAAATATCGGTTTCTGATGTTACACCCGATGATGCAACCGTCTGAAAAATCTGAAAAAAATTGAGGACATCAGTCATGCTAATATCTAACTACTGTAAAGGTAAAAATCTAGTGTCTCGAAAGCTTCTACCCGAAATCTCAATTTTTCAACATTTTTTTGCGTTTTTGATTTTTCACGCCTAGGATTTGCAACCGAAAAATCTGAAAAAATTCACAATCATAAAGAAACCGGGCTAGAATATTCTACAATTTTTCAGATTTTTTAAATGCCACTAAATAGGGAAAATATGGCAAAAATCGCTTTTTCTTTCTTATCCTGTAACTACCCTCCCGGTTGAGATACGTGGTTGAAACTTGGTGTACAATGCTTTTTTAGGCTGTAGTTTCGAATACGACCGATCGCCGATCAAGATGAAATTTTGAGGGGCAGGGGGGAGGGGAGAGGGGACCCCAAATATAAAGTGGTATCTTCGGCTTCCTATTAGTTTCCGAGATATTAATTAAAAACTTTCGTACAATACATAGAATTTTTCCTATACAGACGTAACTAACACAACCGTCTTCGTGTAGTAAGCTGACATCTAGTGTCGAACAGCCGTTGACACAGCGGGGGTTCCAACCTGACTATCTATAGGGTGTCCTATTCAAAACTTTGGAGATACGACGACTGTTGTAGCGCTGCCGGCCGCTTCCCGGCGGCCGGAAATTTATCTACCCTAACCTAACC